TTGATGTATAAATCTCAATATGAATCGATAAATATAGGATGGAATGATTAAAAACTTTAAAATAAAAGTCTCTGATACAAGAATATTCCTTTCAATGAATTCTCATCAATGTCTACAAATATGAAATGAGATCGCATAGTGTAAAACAAGCCAAGTTTGAGGCGAATACATATTGAAAATGTAATGAGAGTTAGGAATGGAAGTAAATCGATTTCGCTTTTTAAGATTATCCAGATTGGTATGAAATATAAATAAATGAAGAGTGTGATGGTAAAAGAGAAGACAGGAGTGGCTTCCAGTTTGGTGAAGGCGAACAGAGGAATAACGCCTGAATATGATACTTCCAAATGGAAAGTTCAGGTGTGATCAATCTTATTTCAACAGCCTAGTTGTGTTAAGCAAGAGAGCTGGAGAGCTGCACTTGGTATTGTTTAGGTACACGATGTACGATACTGAAAGATCCATTACTAAGGTGATCTGTTTGAACTTTGTGCCACTAAAATTTTCCACCGAACATATGTATCAAATTTTTTTCCTTTCAATTTGTTTTAATCATTTAAATATATCACCTGAATATATCATGTACTGTTGAACATTTTTTAAATTATTTTCAACTCGAGTTAAAATTGAAACAGAGAAAAAGTGTCATGATATGTAGAATTGAACTTCTCAGTATACAAAAATATATCACATTTCTATCTTTCGAATACTTAGCTTGAGTTACAGATTCTTTTACTGGCTTAGTGAATCGCAACCATCAAACTTACACTCGCGTTTCTGCTTATTCTTCAATATGGACCGGGCATTAATCCAAAACCAGCTGGCTGTTTCAGATTATTCCCTTGAATACTGTTATTATTAACAACATTCAGATGCACTAACCACTTCGTCTGAAAATATTGTTCTAGGTCTGAGTTTTTTTGAAATTTTACATGCTAAGAATTCCGTGCTGTATCATGTATATTTTAAGAATAAAGCGATAATTATTATTATCATTAGCATATATACAATCCACGGTGTCTACTGCACGTACTACGGATAGAACTTTTCAACACTTTCACTTCACCACATCCAAACCAAGCCGATAAATATTCTCGTATCCAGAGACGCACCTGCCTAACTTGTTACACAAGAATAGTTAGAATGATATATACTACAGAAACAGCTAAAATTAAGTACAGTAGCCTTGGAGTGAGCATTAGCCGGCTACTAAAACATGCAAAGGCTATCTGCATAAAACATTTTATGGACTATTTTAACTAGGTGTTGCGACAGGTTGTTACTTAGAGCGTACCATCAAATGGTAGTTACGAAAATTAAAACTTCTTCTCCACTATTATTAAACCAAGTTTGATTTGATGAACTTCTCCAGATATCTTTTTTCACTTCGAATATCGTGAATATACAGTAGTCCTTTTTTCCACACACTCCTTAAAACAAATCGATTTTATTATAAATGCTAAGCACCTGATTATATTGTATGCTTACGTCATTAGTGGGAAATTGAGAAAGTGTGCATACTGCACCTTGGTCATTGGATTTTCTGTAAGTACTTCACATTAATACTCTCTTGACCTGCAATAAACTAAAGGTTACTTTGGTATTCCTTATTTCTTGTCTTTTCTTATACCATCAGACTCTTCATCCGTATATATCTTATTATTGATAAATTTCTGAAGAAAAATTCATCTTCAAAAAGCGGAATACACCTATTTGATCATAGGAAAAGACAAGACGTGGTTTCAGTGAAGAAAAATTTTTCTTTTCGATGAAGTCATTTACTAAGCTGTAGATTTGTGAATATGTTATGGTGGGTAGAACGTACCAGAATTGTTTCCGGTAAGAGGCAAAATATATTGAGTAACTAAAATAAGTCAATTAATATACACTTGTGTTTACAGTGGGAAAGTTGATAGGGGCTTATAAATTAAATGTGATTGCGTAATACAGGATGAATTTATGGCAAAGTAGGAAACTGAACGAAAGGTTATGAAGATAAAATTGTGATTATGTAATACCGGATAAACCTAAGACAGAGTATGAAAATAAACGCGAGATCATAAAAATAGGGTCGTGATTACGTAATACAGGTTATATCTGTGACAGGGTAGAAAAATGAATAAGGTATACACGTGTAGTTACCTGGTACAAAATGAATCTATGGCAGACAAGGCTTTTTGATGGCTATGGCAAAGATAGAGGTTGGATGTACCTTTATGGAACGCATAACGTTGGTTTGAACTTCTGGATCACTAGCACTTCAGCTGTAGACAGATGCCTTGATTTTACTCCCTTCAAGTGGTTTGATTGAACGCTGTAAAGAATTTCGAATCAGTTCTCGAAAGGAGCTAAGTTGCCTGAGTTCACGAGGTATTCTGTTATCGAAATGAAGATGCATTTCCGTTCTTCCTCTGCAAGTCAGGCTGGGTAGTGTTCGCGGACACGTTTTACAAGCGGAAGCATGGCACAACTGATGTACTCAGCTCCACAAGAGCAAGTAAACATTGATGTGGTCCAATGCGTTGGCTTGTCTTTCACACATTCACCAAAAGCTTCTTGCAGGAGAAAATAATCCAGAGGTTGACGGTGAAGTATTTTTGGTTAAAGGATCTAGATAGTCGTTTTCTTGGATCTCTGCAGCAATATCACTTTTGAATACTTCGATGAACTCTAGCGGAAAACGGTTTCCCGCTCAGATTCATAGATAAGAATATCAAGTCAAAGAACCTAAGTGAACGAAGACATTTGGCGCCGAAAAAGATTTTTTTGTTAAGTCTTGAATTCCCACTCTAAACACAAATATGTATTGATTAACTTCTTTAAGTTACTCAATATATTTTTCCCCCTGACGGAAACAATTCTGGAACGTTCTACCTACTGTGACATATATTCACGAATATATAGCTTAGTAAATAACTTCATCAATAAGAAAAATTCATCCCCATAAAGTTCCTAACTGCCACTCCATTTTGATGATGTATTCACTTCAATTCTAGCTTGTTTCATGCTGTACTATTGCTCTCTATAATTGTACAACCTGATAAAAATTCACTGAATGTAATATTCTTCGTTCAGACTGCTTTTATTAAAAGCCTCTACTTTCGAAGTACTGGTTAAATATATTCACAAAAATATAAGATATTAAGTTCAAAGTGCTAAATTGATTGAAAGAAAATTTCCATCAGTAGCTGTCATCGTCTAAAACAACTTTCGAAGTTTAATGTATAACAATCAATAGGATTAAAGGTGGGTTTTATGTTCTTGTGTAAAAATAAGGCATAGATTATTATACTGATTTCTTTTTGCTAATATAGGCTATGCCATAAGATCACTCAATAGAAAACTTCATCTTGCATGTAATTTCTTAGATAAGTTCATGAATAGCAGTGAGTTTGAACAGTCATTGAAATTAAAGCATACAGAGTAGAAAATTCTATGCTTCGCTATGCTTTATAAAGGTAGAGAGAGAGAGAGACTTTGGGAAGGATGCAGATGTTCAATAGTTGATGCCTTGAAGGCACCATCTGCAATCAGTTTACCTCATAGCCTACTGTATAAATATGTACTAGGTTAGGCTGCATCACTTTCTGATGGTTTATCTTTCAGTTCCTACACTGTACCAAATTTGTTTCATAAATAACCAATAATAATAGTGCAGACTACCTGAGTGATGTTTAAGTGAACAGCATTTTAGTAAGCCGTTGTGCAGCTTTTAAATCTCTGCTGATTGTCATCGTAGCGAACGTCACCTTTTATTTTGAAGTCAGATATAACCTTAGGGTGATTAAACCACACAACAGGCCCCAAGTGTGTTGTCAAAAAATACAATTCAGATATATAGGCAGACATCGATGTAGAACCTCGCAGAAAAAAGTGCATCACCTCAAGTTGCTACACTTCACAGGAGTATACAAAGAACAGATGGATGGAAGAAGAGTGATATCAAAGTAGTCGAGGTTGTGTGACAGAATAAACGATTTGAAGACAACAGTTAGTGCTAATATTCAAGCTTAAGAGGATGTCAAAGAGTGGAAACGTCTGCGCCATTGTGATCGGTTTTCAGCCATATTATCAAAAGTCCTCAACCAATGATCCTTATCATATTTGAGTCTACATCTCCCCATACGGATCAGACCAAAAGTCAGGAACTTCATCTAATCTGGCTTCCCTGAGCCCTCTTCCAACATAATTCAACTTCTCTTAGCATAGCACATCGAGGTAGGCAGAGGCTCGCTTGGTATGCGCAGTTCAAACTCAAGCCATTTTAGTTGATGACAGTTCATAACCTTATCAATCGACTTGCCTACCTTGCCTGTCTCGCCTAGTATCCTTTGCTCGACCTCAACACTGTTCATGAGGTGATTCCACCAAACGCGATACCTGTAACCGCTTCATGTCTTCTACTTTTAACGGCCATGTCTCCAAGTTGCATAAAGAACCAAACGAACTGCAGCGTAGTATACTCGTCCTTTAATAAGTAGTCGGATATCTTGCCGGCGTCATAAGTCAGAAACTAAGAGTTGTTTTACTGAAAATTTAGGGTGGAAAACCAGACCAGTTAGTGTAGACATACGAATTCTTTAATGGGCTATAAATACTCTGTATTTTGTTACCCAAGTTTTACTTTCAATCTTCCATTCTCTTCAATAAATCTAAATGATGTCTCAACTAGCAAAAGGTAGTTTGAAATAGATTAAAGTTTTTTGACCGATTACTTTGATACAATAAATGATCCAGTATAAATAATTCCATGAGAAATAAATACATTCAACAGGTTTGAACTAATCTATGTGTAGATGAGACATCAGTAGGCTTCATTGTGAAATAAAACTCCAGGTATCTGTTCTCCATACTATGATAGTGTCCAAAGTATTTATTACATGTAAATAAAATCGCATCACTTTAGCTTCATCAAAAACATTTTCATTTTTGCATACTTCAATTGCACTATTACCCTTTGTGTTTGATTGAAAAAAGACAATAAGCTGAATCTAACTTACCTTGTTTACACTTAGTTTTTGCTGTATGTGGTCCAGCCATGTATTCCGTTGTCATACTTCTATGTGATCCAGTATCTCTTGTCAATGGACGAGATTTTCTGTTCGGTGAGGGTGTAGCATGAGTACATAGCATTGAATTATCATGTACAAAATGATGATGAGTTATTATGCTTTCCAAACGATTAATAATATCATAATTAGGCATAGTTAGTAATTCGATATCCAAGCCAAGAAGACGGGCAACAAGTGCTCTGAATTCTAAAAGCTATTAAACAATATTTATGAGTACTTTTAATAAAGACAACGCAGAAAGCAGTTGTTAAAGAAAATCTTTGTTAAACTAATTGAGAAAGTGAACGAATAGTATGGGGGTTATCGTTCGATTAATTATGCTATAATCATATATAGGGGGCCTAAAAATAAGAATTTTGACTTGGTTTGCACTTTCATCAACAAGTATGAACCATAAGTTATCTTAATAGTACCAAAGGAAGGTAGTAATACTGTGTATTAGCCTCAAAAAGGTACCACTGCCTAAAAAAGTAACCCATTATAGTTTAACATTTTGGTTGAAATACCAACATTATTGGCCATACCCGCTGTGGAAACGTGGCTTGTTGGTTTAGGGAGGTGGTTTTCAATCAGTAGGTTGCGGGTTCGAGTACCTCTCCCCCTATTGAGGCTTGGACAGTCAGGTGGTATTCACCTAAATGAGGATTCTTTCTGTTTGATAATGAATGTAGTTAAACGATATGGTTGTACGAATGAAAATGTGCATATTTTTGGAGTAGGCAATGAGGCTCACCGACTGTTGGTATCCGGCGTGTTGGCATTTAAGTTAAAGTATGGTGCGACTGACAACAGCGGTTACTATTTCGTTCAAATAAATATAAAAATAGTACAATAAATGAAAAAACTAATTAAAATTTTGCTCAAAATCGCTTATTTCGCACACTGTTTGGACAAAATAATGACAACTAGTGTTGGTAACGCTACGTAAAGTTTACATGACATGTCGGATAACTTGCTGAGCCTTTTACTACGTCTCCTTAACCATGTAGTCATTTCCAGAGTAACATTAGGTAGAACCATCACCCATTGTTTTTGCCATCTTATCTATAGTGTTCAATCTACCACTGTATACCATTTGAGTAGCCTTAACAACTTTATCAATTTCATTGAAACTAAATTTTTATTTTAATACTTGTATTATCCAGTCATTGACTGAACTAAATTGACTGGTCTCCATCGGTTCATAAGGTCCTGTGAGGATGCCTGCAGATTGTCTGTGTTTCACTTTCATTGTAATAATGGATAGTGACTAGCAGTGGAATCCAGGACGCTTGTTTCATCCTAGTTGTGACTCGTCAGTTGGATGTACCCTGTCTCCCAAACGCCGGAGCATTATCCACTAGGCCACCGAGTCATGATAACCATTTGCTAGCCACTATCCATCATTACTATAAAATTGAGACATAGGCAATATCTGTGTGTCTGTGTAGGAGCCCAGAAGCAAATAGAGACCGATCAATTCGGTCCAACCAACGACGGGATAATACAAGCAAAATCTTATAATCTGTACCCACTGCACAAGAATTGACTTTCGTGACTCATTGGCCTGGTGGATAACGCTCTGGTGTTTAGAGCGATAGGTCTTGGATTCAAGTCTTAGTGGGAACAACATCGCTCTTTGGAAGGCTGGTGCGTCTAGTTGGTGAGTCTCAGGTCGGACGAGCTTATCATAAACATTATATTCTATAGGTTTTAAAATAACTGAAGAGCTTCCGTGAAACACACATATACTTATTCTGCTAACTATTGTTCTTCTGAATTTATTCATTTAATTCAATTATGCAGTCCTCCTGCATGTTGTCAGAAATAGAAATCAACCTCAAAACTTGGAGCTAAACGTTGAAGTTGCAAATCATCTTGGAAGGAAATTAGGTGACTAGGTGTGCACTGCTAAGGAGTCCCATACTAGGACGAAACAGCTGTCATGTGCTCCCAAGCTCCCAACGTTACTCCAAATTGTCAGTCCATGATGAATGTCTGATATGTTGATAACAACTTGAAGGTTTGTGGGGATTTATTGATTTCAAGTTGGTATTCATCATGGACCGACATTGATTGGAGATCCACTGAAAACCCAAGAGCGCCGGGCAGCTGTTTCGTCCTAGTACGAGGATCCTCGGCATAGGACACTCACGACTCTGCCTCTCTAGAGTTCAAATCCAGGACCTCAAGGTTTCATGACGAGTAAGTTGTCCTTGAATCACTTAGGTCGAATTCAGTGGTTCATATTTTTCTAATTCTGACAATTCGCAGTGTAGCGTAACTCTCATCCCGTGTCATAGTTGTGTATTTGTCCTCCAACTTGGTTTTCCTTTCACAACATCCTATCAGAAGGTCAAGAAACCTGATTTTGAAGTAAACCACTAATGAGCACTGGACAGAACCATTGAAAACCTGGAAGCGAAAGTCATTATCCGTGGTAGATATTATCCACTAACAGATATCTTTACAGGATGAAATCGATCTTTTACTTACCGGTTGACAACTAGTCAATTGCAGGAATGAATTAAACCTTATCTAAACATTTTACTAGTCTGTACCACTGAAGCCATCAATAAGTCTTCTTGAAAAATTCTTCCTTCAGGGGATCCAATATAACTTTGAGAAAATATCTGGTACAATAAAGCATCTATAAACGGGAGAGCTAATATTCAAGACGGTATGGCGTGAAATTATGCTAGATAACTATCACTCAATAATGTATACTGCATTTGAAAGGAGAAGATGATAATTCTTTTCACATTCAAAGTTACTGAGGTTGAAATTATCCACACAGTCTTCATTCTTCCAAGAAGAAGTTTAAAATATTCAAGCCTCTCCAATAAACACCCTACAAGCCAGTCAAATGAACTGGTTGATATAACTGTTCGATTTTAGAAGAGTAAATCTTACACAAGTCCAATGTTCATCCATAACCTAAACAACTTAGCAAATACTAGGTGATGAACAAAAACAAAATTCTGTTAACTTGGTAAAATCTTTACGCTACACCAGGAATCGACAGACCCTAGCAAGTTACAACTAATTAGTTCTTGTTGAAGTATAAAAGGGCTATGCTCAAAAGACGAACTGTAAGAAGAATTCACTATCATTGAGAAGATTCCTGTTAGTAAGGCAGGGGGGGGAGTTAGCTGATGAAATTCATTATGAAGCATGGAAAAGAACTAATTAAGAGACATAAACCTGTTTCTAGTATTCTTGGGCGGTCATAAATACGAAAGAATAGATAGAACGATAACAGCTGCACTGAGAAGTAGCTTACTAGCTGCCAGACTGATCTCACTTTACAATACAGTATGCCCAAAAACACAGTCAAAAATAGACAAATACCCAGTTCAAGTCACTTCCACCTGCTTATATCAATTAACCTTTGTGGAAGCAAGTACATAGGAGGGACCTAAGGAAGGGCATTTACTCCATTTTACGAGCATATTCCGAAAAATATGTATCTAAAAGGTAGCAAAGTCTTTACCAGTGCAATCACTAGACGTCTGTTGGAAATAGGACATCAAATAGATGTTTCTAAATCCTTCAGGATTATCAACAAACAAAAGATGCCATTACTTACTGATACCTGTAATTTCCTGTCGCTATACTGAGTCTAATCGCTTGACCTTTATTATCAGATGGGCTGCTATGTAGACGCCTCTATACTGCCCGTTTACTCATTGTGCTGTAATCTGCTTGGCGGCTAGCACTGGAATCTGGGGCGTGTGTTTCGTTCTACTGGACACTCGTCAGATGGGTGTATCGGCACCTCAGTGGGTGATATTGTTCCCACTGAGACTCAGGCTCAGTAGCCAACGCTTCAAATGCCAAAGAGTTATCCACTAGGTCATCCGGGCACGAGAATGATAAGTCCCACCGCTAGCTGGCAAGTTAATTGCGGTTTACAGGAGCTCTTACAATTAGAGACCTTAATTAACCTTTCATGGCATTGTCAAACAACATATTTAGAACAATACTAGATCATTATATATTACTTATATATCTTTCAAAAGTAAAAGGAATAAATCATGTTACCTCTCTTTCAGAACGTTGAAATTGTTCCAGTGTCCTTCTATTTGATTGTAATTCCTCCATTAAATGTTTACACTCCTCTTCTAGTCGACAACGAGTATCACCTTCATCTGTTGTCTGCACCTCTAATTTTTCTGATAGTTCAGCAATTTTATTCGCTTGACTTTGACGTATCCCTTCAAGTTCTTTATTTAATTTAGTTAATTCACTCAATTTCTCTTCATATTTCACTACATTGATCTAGATGAATGATTGTTTACACATTGTTAAATAAATTCGGTACTATACTCATTTAGTACTACTGTCTACAATATTTCAAACTTCAAAAGTTTACTTGCTCTTTATAATAGTACAGTTTTTATAGAATATCAGCAATATTACAAATAGATAAAAGAAGATAAGCACCGATCAGAATAAACATTCGAAAAAATTCTCTCCCTTAGATTGGTCGATTAGTATCTCCTTTCAATCAACATATGATGCACCAGGTTATCTAGGTGCTCATGGGTTATTAGCGTTGAATTAGATCTTAGAGAAGGTTTTAATCATAGAAGTCTTCGTAGCATTTCTAACAAACGATGAAATTGCTGTGTGAGCAATGTCGAGGTTAGGTGAAGGATACTGGGGAAGTCAGTCGATGAGGTTGTGAAGCTTAGTGGACTGAGGTAGCTTGGACATATGCTGTTTATCCCGAATCATCGTGTACCTCGATAGGCGTCGCTAGCGGGAGTTAGATTAGGGCGAAAGAACACTCATGGCTGTCAGACTAATACGCTGCACCCGATCATGAAGTCTCTGACTGCTTGTCTGAGCTGTGTGTGGACGTACAGACTGCCTAAGTGGGGTCTCCAGGACGATAGGAATCAGTGGTTGAGGACTCTTGGTGAAATGACTGAAAATCGTTCTTAATGGAACAGATGTATTCACTCTTTGGTGTCTTCAAGGTCTTGAATGTTTCGAAAGACCTTGATTTTTAGATTCCCTCTCCTCCTATACACCTTTGTCTACTTTTGACATCAATCTTTTTCTATGCACTTGTTGCTTGCATACTACTGTGAAGTGTGGTAACTTGAACGAGTACACTTGTGTGAGGATCTATGTTGATTTTGTCTAGCTGTTTGCTGGTAAGTTGCTGTTCAAAGGATGATTAGTATAGTATACGAATGAACTCAGACGGATAGTTTACAATAAATTATGGAGTTTTTTGTTTCATATCCAAGAAGACCTTACCATAAGTATCTAAGTTAGTTAGTAAGAATGTAGCTTGTCTACTTGAATCATGTTATGTTTCATTGGCAACTTTGTTTAAATTTTAGGAGTGAACAATCTGTCTGAAGAATCATTTGTTTATTTCTTATATAATGCTCACCTGTTTCTTGGCGCTTGTTTAAGATTTAGAGATGCGGCACTGTATAGGGAAGTATAAATCCATCTCACTTTCAGCGTATTCTAATAAAGGAAAACGTGAGCTCGCAAGACATTGAGAAACCATAATGCCTTGTAGCATTTTGATACAGCTTATGATCGTTTCAATTAAAAAGTGAGTAGTTTAGTGTCCCATTTATGTATCAGTATTTAGTCATAATGTGAACAGTTAAGGTGAAAATATAAGCATATTAGAGGTAGTATTCATCACGGACTGACATCATTTGGGGAACCACTGAGAACCTGAGAGCACTAGACAGCTGTTTCATCCAACTAGTATGGGACTCCTCAGCAGTGCGCATCCATGACACTGCACCATCCCTCCCCGCCTCGTTAGGAGTCCAACCCAGGACTTTCAGGTTACGAGGCCAGCACGTTACCATTGAGTCACTGGGTCAGAATGTAATGGTCCACATTTCCTACTCCTATCACCTCACGATATAGCGCGACCTAAATCCAATGTCATCGTTGAGTAACCTTCCTCATGTTCGACTTGGTTGACATCACTGGTCGCGACTTCTCACTGGAGATTCGGGAATCGTCTCTCGAAGCTAGTCACCAGTGAGCGCTAGGACAACCCTATTCAAGTTGGTTGACTCCGAGTTGAGAATACTGTCATAACACTTTGTTAAAACAATTTACAAGAATATTAATCAGAACAAAAGTAAGGACGGGCAAATATCGAAATTCATCTAAGAACTAGAGGAATAGTATGGCATACTTCCAACTAGAACTGTTAGATAATCATTGCCAAGACTACATCACCGGTTAATTTCATCTAACTATGGAGGATTCTTGTTGATTAGGCAGAAGAAAATGGGCTTACTGAGAAAAATATCCTAATCCGTAGATTCTACAACCGCGCGATTCTGGGTGCAAGAAATAAAGACAAAGTACCTGATTCTGTCACTTCCATGTGCATTTATCAATCCAACTACTTCCACAGAGCTAGTTACATTGAGCATACAGTCAGGTAGTTCCATCGTCGAATTTCTGGGCAACACCCATCAAAGGTCACTGGTGGCATAGTCACTAGGTAATTCTATGAGTATAAATTGAAAAGGATGAGGTGGATGTGTATACAACTTCAATTGAAATAAGGTGGTGAATTCATTTATTTATATCCTTGATATTTTAATTTTATTTCCCTGAAGAAGCTCGGACCAGACTTCCGTGAGAAACGTTGGAATTATCTCATTTCAAAGCCGCCGGGACTTACACAAGTGTAATCTGTATCTAATGTCCACCCATAACAGTTGAGCGAGACGCAAATTAGAACAATAAAGAGCCCCATATTTGCACACCTAGTTGACACGGGACATCAAGTGGATACTAGAAAAGGTTTCAAAATTATTCATTACATCCCGATTAATTTACCGAATGGATTACACACTCGCTTACTTCACATAGCAGAGGTGATTGCAATCCACCCTTACAAACCTAGCCTTTGTATTCAAAAGAAGTATGTTCGACCACTTTCATTACCGTGAACGTCAACATGGTTAACTAGTTCACTAGTCACTAGCCGGTCCTAACCCGGATAAAGAGGAAAGGTTGGGCATACAGCTAGCAACCCTACCCCGGAAAACCAATCGAACCGCTAAACAAACTTCAAAGCACAAACAAAATATAAAAAATAAAATAAACTTATTCCTCGCTCGAATCAGAGAGATGAAATGATGTCGGTTGGTGAAAGCCTTCGGGAAACCAATTGGCCGATGTGTCTTCTCTCCCTCGATGAAAGCAAAAGTAAGAATGGGGACATGGAATGCCCGCACCATGTATGAACCTAGTAAGTCTGCCCAGATTGCAAACGAGATGAGAAGGTATAGAATTGAAGTGTTAGGAATTTGCAAATGCAGATGGAATGGAAGTGGACTCTCCAAACTGTCAAATGGAAAGTAAATAATCTACTCCGATATTGTCACCCAGACGACAACCACAAGCACACTGAGGGAGTGGCTATCATGATGTCGCCAACAGCATCAAAGGCTCTCATGCAGTGAGAACCAGTCTCCTCCAGCATCAAGATCATGACAGCAAGATTCAAATCAAAAAGAAGGAAAGTCACAACCATTCAATGCTACGCTACGCACCTACAAATCATGCAGATAAAGAGAGGAAGGAGGAATTTTATAGACAACTGCAATCAACACTGGACAAGGCCTCAGTTGGCGATATCAAAATTCTAATAAACGACATGAATGCCATACTCAGAGCGGACAACATAGGAAGCAAACTAACCATGGGTCGAGAAGCACTCGGTGAAATGAATGAGAATGGGGAACTGTTTGCAGATTTCTGCGCATTCAACGATTTGGTGATTGGAGGCAGTGTGTACAAATACAAGAATATTCACAAAGCGACATGGATTTGATTTCATCAGACATTAGGACACACTAAAATTCAGATCGACTTCATCTCAATGTGAAGAAAATGGAAACGTAGCATACTCGACACAAGATCAGATGAAGAAGAGGAGCAGATGTAGGTTCAGATCACCCACTATCTATTGCAAGGAACCTTCCTTCAAAAGCAAGTTGAAAGCCTTCAAAGAAGTTGGTGATAGACCACACTTCAAGTTCAGCGCCCAGAACAGAAACTGCATTGAAGGACGAAGCTACAAAGGACGTCTTCACATCAGTTATCAGGACAAAATGGGAGATATTGAGCAACATCCTCGAAGAAACCTGCATGAAAGAAGACTGGAACTCTTTGAAAGAGACGTGGAAGGAAACCTGCATAACCGTATTAAGGAAGAAAGAACGGGACAAGGAATAGGATGGAATGGATTTCGACGGACACATGGAAGCTGACAGACGACAGGAACAGGGTGAATCAGAAGATGAACCAGTGCAAGGATGAACAAAGAAAAGAGGAACTGAACACAACCTATAAAACACTGAACCACGAAGTGAAGAGGAGTGCACACAAAAACGAAAGACACTTCTACGACACATTGGCAAGTGAAGCAGAACAGGCTGATGGTAGGAGGGTCAAAGACCTGACAACACTATATGAAATGACCAAAATAAAATCTAGCAAGAGATCATTTCAGATGAAAACAATGAGAGATAGTTAGATAGATAGATAGTAGAGATATATAGCTACCAAAGAGGAGACACAAAGGAAACAATGGGCTAACCACTTCAATAAACTCTTGAATCGCCATAATGTTGCTGAAATCCTGGAAAGCAGTAGGACAAGATGGAATTCCTTCAGAAGCACTGAAAACGGACGCAGACACAACAGTGGACTTGTTCACACCACTACTGCAGAAAGTTTGGAAGGAATGAAGGAAAGTTACCAGCCGAGAGGAAGAAGGGCCAACTTGTCAAACTCCCAAAGAAAGACGACCTAAGTCTTTGCAAGAACTGGCGCGCAATATTGCTACTGTCCACCAAAGCAAAACAATATGCCGCATTATACTCAAGAGACTAGACAAAATTACGACCGAAACAGGCTGGCTGGATTCAGGAAGAACAAATAATGTGAGGATCAAATTGCAACACTACGCTACACATCATCATAGAACAGAGCATAGAATGCAAGTCAACTCTCTACCTCAACTTCATAGATTTTGATATGGTCTTCCACAGCATTCACCGAGAAGTAATTTGACTGACAGCTACTTCAACACTACGCTTTTAGTACCACGAACCTTTATCAACCTCATCCAACAGCTATATGCCATATGATGCCACATGCCAAGTGATTCACAATCGAAAGCTCAACTCATTGATCCCTTTCAAGTGAAGAGAGGAGTAATACAATGCTACCACCCACTATCACCAATCATCTTCCTGATTGTGGTCGACTCGACTCGACTCGACTCGACTGCACTGCACTGCATTAAGCCACAAACTGTTAGGAGCGAGAAGAAGAGTATACGTTGACTGGACAGATGAAAAGACACCAGAAGAAGATTTGGATCTCGCCAACGGTGATGATTTATGTCTAATGTCTTGTCACACAAACTCGAAGATTTACAGGCAAAAACCAAGAAGTTGATAGAAGAGGTAGGGCAACAAAGATGTGACTCCCTTCAGATGAATGTAGAGAAGACAGAGGTGATGAAGATACACAACCAACAACAACTACAACTACAACTACAACAAGAAGCACCAATCACCATGAATGGGAGAAATCTAAACGGAGTTATCTCTTTCACCCACCTAGGCAGGGCAGCATCGTTCCAACTACAGGCGGTGGCAGAGGCGGCACAGATGAGGATGTCAAAGCCAGGATCAGAAGGACAGCAAAACAGACCATCCTTCATTAGTCTGAGATCAATATGGAGATCTATTTCAGTCAGCATAGACCATGAACAAGATTCGGAATTTCAACACTAATGTCAGTCAAGTCAGTGATTCCATGTGATGGTTCACAAACTTGGTGCGTCACGAAAAGCATTTCCAACAAACTACAGACATACACCAACAACTCCCGCCTACGCTCGCTCGATACTGAAGATGAACATCAGATGACCAGAATAATAAGAATAAGCAATAAGGGACTCTTGCTGGCAACGAATCAACGAAGCAAGAACCCATTGCTCAACAGATATGCAGGATGAAGTAGGATGGATTGGATTTGAAATGCACTGAGAAAACCGATTATGGGCCTCATGTGCCGCGCCAGACCCTTGAATGGAACTCAAATAGGAAACGACCAGTTTGGCGTCTGAGGTTGACATGAAGATGGTGTGAGCAAGAAATGATAGCTTATAAGCAGTCATGGTGCCAGGTTAAGAGGGCTGCAGAGAATATAGTGAAATGGCGATGTTCCACTAGGTACTCAAGGGACAAATAATAGCATTAAAAATTGTTTATTTATATCATTATATCTAAAACATTACCATGTGATTGGTAATTTGATTAAATTGTAATACTATATGTTAGTGTAGAGCCCAAGATGAAGTCCTAATTGAAAAGGAATATATTTTTTCACTCAATCAGTCTTTTTTCTAAATGTTTAAGAGTCATTTTATTCATGTGTTTGGGTATAAAAACAAACGACTTGCAAACACTATAGTTCGTCAAACAAAACTCTGTTACAGTTTTTCCATGATAAGAAACAGTTAAGTACTGAGTATACCAAATGTAGACCATCTACTAAGTCACAGGTGACAAATTAATATCAGGTAAATTATCCCTGTTAAAAATGATTGATAAATAGAAAATGATAAGCTTATTGATAATCCTGATTATTTAAGCAGGAGTTCAAATATTTTTCACTAGGGTTTCACCAATCTTTAACTGAGTTCATTTTGATAAACAGAGATAACTGAGGAATATTTTATAGTGTAATGTACTGTACTGAGAAAATACAACTAACTTTTAGGAATTATTAGGATTAATGTATATTAATGATGGGTAGTGGCTAGCAGTGGAATCCAGGATGCAAACAATAACACTATTAGAATTATTTGTTGTTGCTTGTATTATCCCGTCATTGAGCGGACCGAATTGATCGGTCTCTATTAGCATATAGGCTCCTGTGTGGATGCCTTGATATTGCCTGTTTCAATTGTATAGTAATGATGGATAGTGGCTGGCAGTGAAATCCGGGACTCACGTTTCGTCTTTTTATGACTCACCAGCTCGGTGTAATGCCTCCCAATGAGTGACACAAGGAACAACATTCAATCTATACCTGTCGCACAAGAAACAGCTACCATGGCTAAGTGGTCTGGTGGATAACGCTCTGGCGTTTTAAGCGATCGGTCCCGAGCTCGAGTCCTGGTTGGGACAACACTACTAACTGGGACACATCCAGTTATCAAGTCCCAGGTAGGAAAAATCGCGCGTCCATCAATAATTAGTAGAATTTCCAAAAGATCTGGCCACAAAATGCCTAAAAAACCTCTTTAATAATCTCAATTAAATAAAACGTTAAATTCTAAATGTGGTCCCGTAAACTAGCACCCTGATGGGCTAATGCACAACATCATCTAACAAAAGCTGATATATTCTACCGAAATACTTGAGTAGTTAGAAAGCACTCAAGTTGATCTGTAAATTTCGACAGCCAGATCAGAGTGGCCTAAACACCGGATGACCTTTTTCGCACGTGTTGAACTGAGTTGATCAGCGGTTTGCCCAGAAAAATTCAGCTTACAGGATTAAACTAATCAGATTGCCTTGATATGGCAAGTTAACTTAGATGAATCGGTTTGCCTTAAGTAAACGGTTCAGGTTGACATTTCTCGTGGCTGAGTAGTTTTTCAACTGTTCAACTCTGATGTCAACAGGGTTTCCGTTAGAAACTACCGAACCAAGATATCTGAAAGAAAACGGTCATGAATTAACGAAATATGCTACTGAACAACTTAATTAGTTAGAAATTAGATAGGCTGATCTACAGATATATATATATATATATATATATATATATATATATATCTGTAGACATATTTCAGCATGAATTTTCCGTATCTATCATCATCAGCCTCTTGCGACAATAAACGCGTTCAACTTCTTTCAACTGTTCTCTGTTATTGTTGGATAGAATATGAGGATCTTCTAGTGCATTTGTCTTAAGGTAGTGTACCGTACCGCATCGCTGTCGCGTATCCGAATCATATCACCAACATACTTTTTTAAAAGTGAACTTCACTGTACAAATACTGGAACAGTTATAAATCCTCTAAAGTTGTTTTATTTTCAACCTGAGCTATCAGTATGATAGACAATTATATCCGAAACAACATTTCCTGAGATTACGTTTCTGTTAGGAGATACCTGTATACCAATGTAAATATTACTTCGATTTGTTTTAGTTCATCAATTGAATGTCCCTGTAATTTAGCATTCAGACCGTTTCGGGGCATTTTGTTAAAGTTCTTACTCACATTCAATGAGTTCATTTGTTAGATATAAAGGTAAATGCATTTGTATTCTCATCGACTGATAGTGTTAAAGGTTTAAACTCTGAACTGAAATTACAGTCATATAATATTTTTACAAGCTTTCAGGCCATAGTTGCTACAAATATCCTGAATGAAGTTGAGCGCCGAGTCAGGTTTATTCATTATATAGGTAAGTTTTAATATAAACCCAGCTTATTTAGAAAATCGAAAACAAGAATTTCTAAACATGCTGGGATTGCATTAGTAATGGTGTAATGATGTGGTAGTAATGGTGTAGTGAGCACTGCTAACCAGAATGGATATAAGTTGTATATGCTGAGAGAGCAGCAGAAATCATAGGCAATTACCAGTAATGGGTAAAGATTCTGCACAGAGAACGCAAGAAACAATGTAGGCGCATTAAGAGCAAGTCGAGATAGAAGCAGAATAGGAAATCAAACACATTATGGAAATGCCCATCTTAGTGGAAAGTGTACAATATTTGATGACTACTGTACAAGATGTCAATAACAAACATTCCTTCCTGCTTCTCAGTCTTCTCGTTTTCTACATATGTTATTTTTCATTGTTTGTACTTTACTGATAACAACTTACAAAATATTGACAAGAAATCTACGTACAAATTACGGTTGTCAGAAAAAGTAGGTTTATCTTGGTTGTACTGTGCTCTCTGAGCTGGGTTGTTTAATCGTGAAGTTTTCATCGTCCTTCTAGACGACATCAACAGCACTAATTTCAATATGAACTACAAATATTCTCCACTATTTCAAAACTATACGAGCGTAGCATGCTTCATGTTGTTCGAAGATGGGAAGACTTCTCCAAAAGGCAAGCTTCCAAAAGAGATCAACTACTCTTTCTCCATGATTGCCTACCTCATCATGTTCTGCTGAAGAGTATCAGATATAAAACACATCATCAGATCCGGAAATACCAATCAATGATTAACAGTTAAAAGAGAAAACTAGGAAGCATACAGACGACACAACATGTGACAGCGCTGACAACTGCAATTGAAAAATCAAGCAGACGATATAAACAACAACGAAGAAACGTCCTGAAGAAAAAGCTGCTCAGAACCTCAGAAGCACCTTTAACCAATGAAACAAACGACTGCGATGCCAACGTTTTAAAAAAACCACTTACAAAAGTGGAGAACTTCTTCAACAAGGATTGAATTACAACACAAGAGATGCCTCTGAACCAGAATTCTTTGTGGTATTAGAGTCGTCACTTAAAACATCAGGATTAAATGAGGTCACTCAACAAGGAATACGGCAAGCAATCGTACCACTGACCAACCAAATGAAACATCACGCTCAAATGAACAGAAAACACCAAAAAGGCTGAAAAATAGGAAAGACATCGTTATACTTCCAGCAGACAAAGGACGCACTACAGTAGTCATGGACAAAGAAGACTATATCAAGAAGGTAGAGGAATTATTCAAAGACGAGAATGTATATCAACTACTTGAAACCAACCCTATCCAGAAGTTCGACAACTAGATCAATAAAACCTTGAACAAACTTTTCAAAGCAGAAGAAATAGCAAAGCAAGACTAATGGAGGATGAAATCAAATGGACCTGTCCTTCCTCGGTTCTACGGCAGACCAAGAATACACAAAGTAGGTTTATCAAACAACCAAAACTCATATGTACAGCACCGTGTAGATGAAGATTCCTAGACATTTTACCTGCCAAAGTATAAAAGTGTTAAGAAGAGCAATTTTTATGTATATGATTTAGCCTACTAACAGTTTGTCAAGTAGTAAAATAACGATAACTCACTTTTGCATCACTGAAATCTAAGAGTTCAGCTTTTAGTCGCGTTAGTTCATCCTTAAGTCTAGATACTTCTAACTCAGATCGCCTAGCATTGACAGCTGATTTTTCAGCAGCAATCTTATTAGCATGTGCTTTCAGTTCAGTTTCATTCATACCAGACAACTGGTCTTCTAGTTTGGCGGCTTTTTCTTTCCATAAACCTAATTGTATCTCTCTACTGGCTAACTGATCCTGAAGTCTCTTCACTTTACGGTTCAATCCATTGACACGATCCGCATTGGCTTGAACGTCACTCAACATGGCATATTCACCGCTAACTATTTGTCCAATTCTAGCTAATAAAAACAACAAGCAGGAATTAATCAGTAAAAATAACTTTAGGAAATAATGTAAAGCTACGAAAAATTGAATAAAGATTTCTATTGTATTGTTTTACTTACCTAACGTCAAGCATTCAAAATAGATGAAAATATTGTTACATTCTATAATCTACATAGTTTCTTAAGAAACTGACGTCTAATGATGAGACTATGGAAAACTGAGAAGAGATTAGTCAAAGGATAAAGGCTGATTTTCAACTCTTCGTCACAGTAAATATTTCAACCTGATCAAATCTTATACAGAATAGTCGGGTGATTGAGTTTACGACCACTGAACTAAATTCCAACAATTAGGATTTTAATTTAGTTTAGAGGTTTGTGATGATCCGTTGATTTTAGACTTGCATTCATCATGGACTGACATATGTTGGGAAACCATTGAAACCCAAGAGCTCTGGTAAGTTGTTTCTCCTTAGTATAAGACTTCCAGGCAGCGCACACCGTCAGGAGTCAAACCTAGGCGCTTCAGGTTTTGAGGCCAGCACGTTGTCACTGGCTACTGGATCGAAATCCAATGTATTTTCTCAGTTCAAATAAACTGTAGTTCCCTTTGAGGCAGATAAACTATCATTTTATGTCACTTTCAGGCAATTACCCAGATTTCATTTTAGCTCATACTCTTACTACTCTTTCTTGAAATGACCTCAGAAATTTCTTTTTGTAATCTTAACCTTTCAAATGTAGTTGAATTCCAGTAATGGTCGAAATGCACTCAGCAACCAGGTGCACGTTTGGGAAGAAGGTAATTAGTTAAACCTGTGTGTGGTCTGATGGATCTAACTTGTTGTCAAGACCTCAGTAGGTCCACCTGGGTTTGAATCTGTGACCTGTCGGTTCAACGTCGTGCCCGCATCAATGATCCACAGCTCCAGGTGGATTCCAGAGGGAATCAAGAGTACACACTGATGAACAGCTCCATTCTAAATTGAAATCCCTTATCAATTATACCTGTTCAACAGTATACCTTTAACTGTGACTGATTTTAAATGGAAAATAACTTCTCTAACCATCATGAATCAGTTTTGCACAAGTATCAAATTCAAGAAATGCATGAAATGCTGGATAACTTTACATAACTATAGTAATGTTATACTTGTTTGGGATCCCTTAAGTTCAGACACTATGCGCAAACATAACGCATTCATGATCGCTATTTATGATAATGAAGATTATTATATCACAGTGGTTACCTGCGAAATGCGCGGCATGTGGTGTTTTATCGCATACATAGATGATTGCCCCACATAAGCTATATGTTATAATAATCGATAGGATTGAACTCAGTTTAGAAATAAGAATTCATGATCAGTAAGTAGTATGTAGTGCTACATGTTTATATTATTTTGCATTGGACATTGACTGCATATAACAGCGTACCGTAAAGTAATGATTTATTCAAGTCCATAACTATACAATAAGAAGATTGAAAAGAAATTTAGATATATTATATAGGGGTCTGTTTGATTTCGTGGTTCCTCATCAGCTGTGCTTACAACCTAAAATAGTTTTAACATCATGATAATTCACTTGGTTGCGAATAGCAGAGGAATCCAGCACACGCGTTTCGTCCTATTTGGGGCTTACCAGCCACATGTATCTATACCCCAGTGAGTGATGTTGTTCCCACTAAGACTCGAACTTCGCACCCGTCGCTTCAAACGCCAAGGTGTTGTCCACTGGGCCACTGAGGCACGATAGCCCCGTCTCGTGCAATGGGTGTCAGTTATTACTATTTATCGATATACTTTCATTGGATCGAACTGTTCGACCTCAACTGGTATATGGGCTTCTATGAAGATGCCTCGATATAGCCTGGATATTAATTATGATAATTCACTTGGTTGTGAATAGCAGAGGAATCCAGAAAGCACGTTTTGTGCGACTTGGGACTCGTCAGCCGGGTCAAGTACGTGGGTCAAAGTAGTAGATCGAGATAAGTTAGAATAGCGAAACGTAGGAATTCAGTTATGTAAAAAATGACAGATCCGAATAAGATCAATAATCTAGAAAAAAACTCTTCCGATATTGTACTGAATGCATTAACATACAACCACACAATAGGGTGGGTGTAATAAAATCACCGTAGTCAAGTGCAATATAGTTAGGTGGAGACAGAGAGATTGATTGCTGAATCTTTCTTCATAGAATCAACACAAGTAACTGGAGTGGCACAACGTCTACACCAGAGATGTGAAAAATTGTACTGCCAATAAAAACAAAGAATATGATGATTGTCAGCAAAACAAAAGGCTTTACTATGGTAATCACAGTCTGGTAAATGTTTCTTTCAGAACACATAAGTCTGGCTTTAGTTGTTTAATGGCTAACTCTTTAGAAAAAGGTACTAACTTTGAATTTATCCGTTTATTAATCATTTTGAATGATTTCTGAATATCAACTTCATGTTCATAAGGTGACGATCAATAACGCTATTGAAGACTTTCCACCTTGGAATATCTTGATGCATATGGTCACAAACCCTTCTTTCGGTTCGTCTAATGTATGTGCTTTGGCTATCCTAATACGTTGTATACACTTATCCCCCTCCCATATCTTTGCCAACTTCCACTCTAGAATATTCGTCTAATCTTTCAGTATATATTGGCAAACTTAGCTCTGCATATTTATTTATTCAATTTGTGTGTTTTCAGTTACTTCTTGTCGATGATATGTTTAGTTCAAACTAATTTAAGTATGAAAACATTTTATATAAATTGATGTCAAATTTTTTTTAGGTTTTAAGTGCAGCCGATGAGAAACCACAAAACAAAATGATTTTATGCTATTCTGCTAAATCTGTTATTTTGCTCTACTTAAAATTATCAAACAATAGATATATTTTAGTTGATAACATTCGGGAGTTTGAAGTGACCGGTTCCGGGCTCGAATCCCGGTGGGAACAACACTCACTAGGAGGCAGGTACATCTAGCTGATGAGTCCTAAATAGGATGAAATGCGCATCTTGGATTCTACTGCTAGCCACTATCCATTATTACAATAGGTATGTTTTCCAGTTCAATGGGAGTTAACCCTTATAAATTCTCAAGTGAATTATTTCATCAATGCATTCAGAAGTTGATCAACTTACAACAGACAATTAAACACAAATATTTTCACTTGCACAAACAGTGTTCTTACCTATCTAATTAAATGAACATATATCGCTGAAACAAACAGATATTTCAGTATGGTATTCATCACAAACTGACATCAATTGGAGACCTATTGAAAAATCAGAAAAAACTGAGAGCTTGTTTCGTCCTAGAATAGGACTCACCAACAGTGTTCACTCATGACCCTGTCAAGGGTCGAGTCCAGGACCATCAACGTTCAGTGGTTCTCTAACTGATGTCAATTCATCATCAATCAATAAATTTCTCACAAATCTCTAGAATAAAATACATATCTGCTCATGGCTTTGAAACATACTGACATACTCATATGTAAAAACGTTTCTTAAACACCAGTTGAGTAGACATCAAAAACACGAAAAACTGTAGCTACGACAACACAACTTTGACTAATCAGTTAAAAAATAGTTGACCAAGGATAAAAAGATCAGGAGTCAACTACTCTGTTCTCATTTTTATTTTAAACGTTACACTTTTATCCACGACAGTATTTGTGATTGTGGTAGCAATGTAACACGTAATTCTTGTCCTAGTTGTTTGAGAATAGATTTATGCTGTATAAAAACTGACTTTCATAAACTAATGCAGTAATTATTGGTTAATATGCTTTTAACTGCCTTATTCAACAGCTATATGCCATATGATGCCACATGCCAAGTGATTCACAATCGAAAGCTCAGCTCACTCATCCCTTTCAAGTGAAGAGAGGAGTAAGACAAGGCTGCCACCCACTATCACCAATCATCTTCCTGATTGTGGTCGACTCGACTCGACTCGACTCGACTGCACTGCACTGCATTAAGCCACAAACTGTTAGGAGCGAGAAGAGGGGTATACGCTGACTGGACAGATGAAAAGACATCTGAAGGAGATTTGGATTTCACCAACGGTGATGATTTATGTCTAATGTCTTGTCACACAAACTCGAAGATTTATAGGCAGAAACCAAGAAGTTGATAGAAGAGGTAGGGCAACAAGGATGTGACTCCCTTCAGATGAATGTAGAGAAGACAGAGGTGACAGATGAGTAAAATTCAAAGGGGAAACGACAAGTTGGGCGTCCGAGAGTGACATGGAGGAGATCACGTAAAGAATAAATGAGAGCTAATGGGCAGTCGTGGGACAAGGTTGAGAAGACTGCAGAGAACAGAGTGAAATGGTGACCTGCTACTGAAGCCCTATGTTCCACCAGGAACCCAAGAGACAAATAATAATAAAATAAAAAATGCTTTTAATCGTATCCGATACACCTGATTGTATCTACCAAGCCAAGTCATTTTCAAAAATGGGATTACAAATACAACACTGCTGCAAATAAGAACGGTAAGTAAGATGAATATGGTAGTAGAGCACAGTTAGAAAGTTATAATTAGTATGCTTGCCTCATTTGATCACAACTACTTGACAAAATTCAACCTTGAATTCACTGTTCCGCTACCATTAGTACTTTCTTGTTTCGTGTAGAGATTCCAGAGATAAGAAAATATTTCAATTCCAATTTTTGTGTAGTATTCACGAAACAGTATTCCTCTGAAAACTTTCTCGTACACAAGATGATTAAAATGCTTATATGAAAGGCATCCTTTAGTGGTCACTTGATATACTGTCACCAGTACTCGAAGTAAGCAAAGAGACACTACCAATATAGGATTTAACGACAGTGAGTGGTAGTGTCAATTAGGAAAATAAAAATTTGACAAGATGAAGATATGAAAGTGATACTATAAAGAGTTTTACAAAGCGGTAGGAAGAAATGTAGAGCAGATAACAGAAATCAATTTATCCACTTTAATGCCTGAGATGAAGACAGTGTGAATGTATTTTCATCCCTCTGATCGATTTTAAGCTACATCCTAGCAATATATTTCAGCGGTTTGATGATCTCTCATATAGTATGCTCAAATCTTCTTGTAGTATGTGAAATAAATGGTCAAAGACTTGATAAATTAGTGGTTTAAAAACCCTTCACGTACTTCCAATGTGACCCCACTCGAAAAATCTATGTTGTGAATTGTCAACAAAAGCAGAAAGTGAGCTTAAGTATGTTCAGAGTGAGTAGTTTTAGTTGAGAAGCGTTTCAACATCACACCAGATATCATCACTAGTATATAAGTTTGACAAGATAGTAAAGTAGTTGGTTATACATGAATATTTATAATGTACTACTTTCCATGAGCCTAACCTTATTGGTCACTTGGTGAGTGACTAGGCGTGTATTGAACCTGATTGGTCGAATTTTTGCCACGATTTTTCTCTGAGGTTTGTGCAACCATGTCATTGGTAGGTTTTATTCGCCTGTATGTAGCACGTTGAGGTCACCTCTAAGTAACTGGTTAGTCTCTTTTGCTTGAATCAATTACGACTAATTACTTCACTTTTTTATGAAGCTTCAGTAATGGTGTTCAGCATGATATCGAAATATCTACCAATCGGAACCCTAGTTGAGATAACAGCTTACTTTAAGCATTCACATTTTAGGCTGAAAATATCCCCAACAATTTCTTAGCTTAAGGTATTTCTAAAGACCGAGCGGTTCCTCTTTATATAATCACTAATATTTATCAAGGTATAAGTAGAGTGTATAAATGTAGGATTACTAAAAGTTACTCACTTGAAAGAACTTCTTGTAATTCATCGAATCGCATTCCTGACGCAACTTTTTCATCTATTCTTACTTTGGCTGCAAGTTTACAGAGATAGGAGAAAATCTGTGAATGTATAAGAATGATAAAAATTTATATTACAGATCACCACTAAAGGGGTAAAAGTGAAGTTGATTAGTTAAAATATAAACGATAGATGGAAAAGATAAGAGAATACCTGGAACTTTGCAGCAGTTAGATGATATAGTACTGTTATGTGTAGATTTTGTCAAGATGCAGAGTTTTCTGCACAACTTTGATGGCTTTTAGGATGTGTTCCACACTATCCATATGCATAGTGTTTCTTCAAGACTGGTCTGTTTTTAATGCTTCGTCTAATAATGAAGTGGTTAAAAGAGCTGTTCACTTCACCTAATTGTAAAGCCAACTTAGCCCTGTTGGGATAGTGACCTGCTCAACTTGGGCTTGGTTACATGCGGTTCAGTTGGCCCTGAACAAATTACGCGATCTCTTGCATCACCCTGATTTCCAACTGCCTTTTATTGGTCGAGTGTATTGCGGTACACTTCTCTCCGTTCTAATCTATGGCTGTGAAACATGGACATTAAATTTAGAAGATATGAGAAGGCTTCAGGTGTTCCACCATCGTTGCCTTCGTGGCACTGGCCATGTATCGTAATGCCATTATGTCAGTAACGTAGAAGTCAGGTGAAGCGATAACTCAGTCAATATAATTGTAAACATTCATCGTTTCACATGGCTGGGGCATGCCTATTCACTGTCTCCTTCATCATGCAATTTTAACTGAAGTAGGTTTAAGTTAGAAAAAGGTTAAGAGCGGTCAGATATCAGTTCATCGAGTCTCTGAATATTGGTCTGAGCCATGTAGGAAAAGGTAGAAGTCCCGATCAGGGTCCATGTGATAAACGAAATAGCTGACTGGAAACATTAAGTGATATGGCTAAGATATGACATCAGTGACCCAGATAAATATATGAATTATTTTTATCATAATCTTCACATTGAAATTCATCATTTCCTTCCTTCTTGTTCACTTCTTTCTTCTTTCTCTATGTTCTATCTTAGATCGTTGTACAGTAATGTCAAGTCCCATGTTGATCCCGACTGATTGACTGACTGACTGACCGATTGACTTTGCAACATGGACGTTACGTCGGGAAGAAGTTGAGGTGCACTCAACAACCTTATGCATATTCGTGTAGTAGACAATGAGTCACATCTATTTTGTGATGGCTAGTGATGCAACCTAGCTGCTCAAACTTCGGTAGGCAGGACTCGCAACCGTGACCCACTGGCTGAAAGCTAACTCTCTTAACAACTGACCCGCAGTCCCATGACGTTACCTTCAGTGATGGGAAAGAGCAGATATATCAGTGTCTGACAAACGTGAATTGTCTGAGAATTAAGGTATCAGTTGATTGGAGGAAGTCAGTAGGATGCCCTGCTCTTAGGTTTCTAGGTGAGAACATTTTGAAGAAAACAATTAACTTTATCCATACACAGAATGAGACTTCGATGTATATTACTTTTATTATTGTGATCATTATTATTATGTTCCTTTTAGGGCTTGGCTCATCCTGCAAGCATGTGAAAATTTGTCGAATCGTATCTACCTTCATATGACTAGTACTCACCATTTGTCTAAGTGTAATAATCCAACCCATTTACTTTCAATTGTAACTATTTATTTCTGGCTAGGTAACATATTTTGATCTTATCTTCTCTGAACTGGATGGTTTAATCGTAAAGCTATCATTCTCATTCTAGACAACATCATCACAACGAACTTTAAAATAGACATGAACTATAAGGTAATCTCCGCAAACTGTTCTGATGACCTTGAGCATGATCGGTTGTCTCGGCTGAAATCATTAGTCCTATACGTATTTCGATTGGTTGTCCTGTCAACATGGTATTTGACCTTCTTTTTGTTGCTTATGTTTTTTATTGGTTGATAGATTGTGTCAATGTCAAAATGTATATTGATTGCTGACTGACTTGAATAACAAGTTTGTAAAAATTCTCTGATATCTCTTGGATTTCTTCTATCCTAGAGTTCTACATTTTCTCAATCAAATTCATGTCCACAATTATCTACATGTATTGGTTTGAGTGAAGATATTTCATAACGCTTCATTGATAGTTTGTACTCATGTAGATAAATACAAATGAAGCAATTACTCTGTCCGATATAATGTTTTTCGCAGTTTGTGCAGTTTATCTTGTAGATAACGTTTGGTAGGTCTGCTTCACTAAGTGTATAATAAAGTTATATAATTAACATATCCTGCAGAATAAAAGGTTGTAGAATTTTAATTGGAGAGATAGAATGCAGATAATCCAGATAATCGAAATAATTATGGGTTGTGGCTGAAAATGTTCAAACTCAAGACCGGTGTCATACATTGATTGGTCACGGGAGTGCAACCCATTTCATCTTGTCTAGTCCCGAGTGCAGATGGAATTCTATCGATCATTTTCATAATGTGGCCACCCGACTAGGCAGTTCAGCATCGCGATGCCCTTTGATAGGTGTTATTCGGATGGAGGTAATCAGCAGGAAGCTTTGATTACGCTTAGGTCTAGAGCTCGTTGGCACTCGTCAGCAGCCTTTAGAGAAGTGATGTCCCCTCTGAGGTTCGAACCGGCATCGCCAAATGGCCCGAATAGCTCAGTGGTAACAGCTGAGTGCAGCACTAGGTGGTATAGGTTAAAGTCTCATTTGGGACATTGATTTCGTCAACGTTACAGATACGCCTTCCTCCTCAATTTACTCTAGCCCATTAACACCGTAATTTTAAGATGGTTAACCTACCAGCTACTGATGGCGTTTAAACTTGATTTCCAACCAATTGGGTATAATTATTTTCTTATCAGAGTTGTACTACTTTTAATCAGTAAGTAGTTGAACATTACTAGCAACATACGATAGAGGCATTCAAATAAACATACTTTTAATTTATCTGACCGTTGTTCCTGTTTGACTAAATCAGAATTCATAAGATCCGTTTCTAAACGTCTGATTTGTTCACGTAACTCAAGGCATTCTCGTTCTGTCCTATCTAATGTACGTTCAACTTCATGCTTCCCAGCTTGAGAAGTGTCTAAACGATACGATGTATCCGCAAGGCGAACTTCAAGTCTGGAACACATCTATGGAAAAAAAGTAAGATGAATGATTATTCGAAATCCTCAGTCTTAAACATAAAGTTCACAGTTAATACAGCTAAAAGAATGTGGAACAAGATTTTAATGGATAAGACCGTATGTGTATTAAAACATCTTAGTGTACTCATGTCTATCATCCACCGCGTGAAATCTCAAGCTTACCTGACAGCAATTTAGTTATCAATAGTGATCATAGTATGATATACTGGATTAGAATTACACAAGACAACAAAACAAATCGGTATTGGATGAAGGCCGCGTCAGATCGCCAGCTGAAAGAAGTAAGAAAATGTTGACCATGGAATTCCGCTACAATCATTCAAAGCTAACGTGCTCACCATTTAACACGAAGGTTCTTGGTTCGATCCCTCGGGAGTGGGGTCAGTGGTGTGCACTACTGGGGAGTACCGTACTAGGGAGACATAGACGTCCAGTGCTATAAGGTTCTGAGTAGTTCCCTAACTGGTATCACTTTGTGATGAATACCATCACATGTAGGTTCAGACCACTCGCCATCTAGTGCAAGGAGCCTTCCTTCACCATCAAGTTGAAAGCCTTGAAAGAAGTTGGTGATAGACCACACTTCTAATTCAACACCAAGGACAGAAAATGAAGGACAAAACCACAGAGGACATCTTCACGTCATTCAGTCATCCGGAAAAAATGGGAGACATTAAGCAACATCTCCGAAGAAACCTGTGTGGAAGAACACTGGAACTCTTTGAAAGAGACGTAGAAGGAAGCCTGCATAACGGTATTAGGAAGGAAGAAGAAAGAAGATAAGGAATGGGTCTCTATGGACACCTAAAAGCTGATAGAGGAGGGAAAGGAAGGTGGTGAGGCAGAAGATGAACCAGTTCAGTGTAGCGCAGAGATGAACAACGAAAAGAGGAACTGAACAAAACCTATAAAACACTGGACCACAAGCTGAAGAGGAATGCACTCAAACAAAAAAGACGCTTCTACGACACATTGGCAAGTGAAGCAGAACTGACTGCTGGTAGGAGAAACCTGACAACATTATATCAAATACCCAGGTTACTATATGGCAAGAGATCAACGCAGATGAGACCAATGAGAGATAGTGAAGGGAAGCTAGTTACCAAAGAGGAGAAACAAAGAAAACAATGGGCTGACCACATCAAAAACTCTTGAATCGACCACCACCTGCAACTAGTTCGGAAATACCACCAGCAGTCCAGCTACTAAATTACCAGTGAACACAAGCCCTCCGATTAAAGTCAAAGGCCTGAATGCCATGATGTTGCCGAAATATGGGAAAGCAATGAGACCACATAGAATTCTGACAGAAGTACTCAAAACAGACGAACAGACAACAGCGGACATGCTCACACCACTACTGCAGAAGGTTTGGAAGGAATGAAGGAAAGTTACCAGCCAAGTGGAAGAAGGGCCACCTTCTCAAACTCTCAAAGAGGGGAGACTTAAGTCTTTCCAAAAACTGGCGCGGATTCATGCTACTCTCCACCCAAAGCAAATTAATACACCGCATTATACTCAAGAGACTTGACAATGCACTGGATTCAAAAATGATGATCGAAACAGGCTGGCTGGATTCAGGAAGAACAAATAATGTGAGGATCAAATTGCAATACTACGCTACACATCATCATAGAACAGAGCATAGAATGCAAGTCAACTCTCTACCTCAACTTCATAGATTTTGATATGGTCTTCCACAGCATTCACCGAGAAGTAATTTGACTGACAGCTACTTCAACACTACGCTTTTAATACCACGAACCTTTATCAACCTCATCCAACAGCTATATGCCATATGATGCCACATGCCAAGTGATTCACAATCGAAAGCTCAGCTCACTCATCCCTTTCAAGTGAAGAGAGGAGTAAGACAAGGCTGCCACCCACTATCACCAATCATCTTCCTGATTGTGGTCGACTCGACTCGACTCGACTCGACTGCACTGCACTGCATTAAGCCACAAACTGTTAGGAGCGAGAAGAGGAGTATACGCTGACTGGACAGATGAAAAGACATCAGAAGAAGATTTGGATTTCGCCAACGGTGATGATTTATGTCTAATGTCTTGTCACACAAACTCGAAGATTTATAGGCAAAACCAAGAAGTTGATAGAAGAGGCAGTGCAACAAAGATGTGACTCCCTTCAGATGAATGTAGAGAAGACAGAGGTGATGAAGATACACAACAACAACAACAACTACAACTACAACAAGAAGCACCAATCACTATCAATGTGAGAAATCTAAACGGAGTTATCTCTTTCACCTACCTGGGCAGGACAGGCGGTGGCAGAGGCGGCACAGATGAGGATGTCAAAGCCAGGATCGGAAGAACAGCAAACAGACCATCCTTCATTAGTCTCAATCAATATGGAGATCTATTTCAGTCAGCATAGACCATGAACAAGATTCGGAATTTCAACACTAATGTCAGTCAAGTCAATGATTCCATGTGATGGTTGAGAGACTTGGTGCGTCACGAAAAGCATTTCCAACAAACTACAGACATACACCAACAACTCCCGCCTACGCTCGCTCGATACTGAAGATGAACATCAGATGACCAGAATAATAAGAATAAGCAACAAGGGACTTTGGCTGGCAACGAATCAACGAAGCAAGAACCCATTGCTCAACAGATATGCAGAAGAAAGTGGAGATGGAGTGGGCATACACTGAGGAAACCGTTCAGAGACATCACATGCCAGGCCCTCGAGTGGAATTCAAAGTGGAAACGACGAGTTGGGCGTCCGAGGGTTACATGGAGGAGATGGTGTGAGGAAGAAATGAAAGCTTCTGGGCTGTCGTGAAGCGAGGTACAAAAGACTGAAGAGAACAAAGTGCAATGGAGGCGCGTTACTGAAGCCATATATTTCAGTAGGAGCCCAATGGACAGGTAGTTGACGATGCAACAGTTCCGGAGCACGAAACTTGGAACAGACGAAGATCCGCTGGCATTGGCTGGGAACTTGACAAAACTACTTCGACAAGTTGTCAAGCACAGTTGCTGGCTGCATAGTTCACCAGAGGTATCCCGCAGATACCCAGCAGATACGACTAGTGAACGCAGCACACCCAGGATATTAGTGAGCTTGCCAAGGTCGCCAGATAGCTAATGGGTACAGCAGTGACTGCGGTAGAGTCACCAGAGGCAGATAATTGTAGAAAACGAATAAACGAAGACGAAGGAAGGAATGTTTGTTATTGACATGATGTACAGTAGTCATCAAATATTGTACACTTTCCACTAAAACAGTCATTTGCACAATGTGCTTCATTTCCTCTTCTGCTTCTATCTCGACTTGCTCTTAATACGCTCACATTGGTTCTTGCGTTTCTCTGTGCAGAATATTTACCCATTGCTGGTAATTACCTATGAGTCCTGCCGCTCTCTCAGCATATACTACTTATATCAATTCTGATCAGCAGCGTCCACTACACAGTATTCAATACTTCAGTACATCCTTGAACTTTCTACTTGTTAAGCGGAATCATCTACCGTACTAGTTAATCATTATGAACCTTATACATAAAGCCTTGAACAATGTCAGTTTGACATAACAGCTGAACTTACTTGTCACGTATATAACTGAGTTTTTGTGGAATGCAAACATGTTTTTATACAAGAAAAATACTAATCTATGAAGAGACCATATACATTCAATGCAACTAATGTTATTAATGTCATACTACATCCAGCTACATACAGATGACAGTTTCAAATAGGCCGAAACTTGCGTCCTGGATTCCACTGCTAGCCACTAGCTATCAGAAATTTTCAAGCCATCAAACTACAGACATGTTGATTGTCTCTAAAACGTCCTCGTAGTCGGAAAAGTAAGCGTAAGTGATTTTTCAGACCTCAGGATCAAAATTAGGTTTGATACAATTGAAAAATTTGAACATCAGCTAAATAGTTTGTAGAGGAAATATATTTGTAAGATTCCAATGCAATGAAAAAATGGATTTTTAACATTTTGCTACCTCGTGCAGGTCACATCTTTAGAGAATGAGAACTGCGCAACAACTAGTCTTTCGCATATTTGAACAGTTGAAGGAGATAAGTGAGATTCTGCTGTTCATACCTGGTGACAATTTTGGAATACATGTTATCGTCATTAATTAGTAGTTCGTGAGTCCAAGGCGAAGGAAGATGTGAATGTGTGTTCAGCAGTGAATGATTCTGAAGGTGTGTTGGAGAAGTAATTGCGTATTCGATTTATTTATTTGATTTATAACACATGGATTAAGCATACACTGAGAAGACCATTCAGAGACATCACGCGCCAGGCCAGGTCCTCGAGTTGAACCCAGATGGGAAACGACGAGTTGGGCGTCGTGACATGGAAGAGATCGTGTGAGGAAGAAATGAGAGCTTCTGGGTTGTCGTGGAACCAGGTTCAAAACATTGCAGAGAACAGAGTGCACTGAAGACGAGCTACTGAAGCCCTTTGTTCCACTAAGAACCCAAGGGACAAATAGTAATAATAATAATAGTAACACACAGTGATACAGTATTGTTTACACGATGACGTTTTCAGAATAAATTATTGCTGCTGTAATCGCACTACCTTCGACATCTCATTTTTATAGTTCTATCGCCTCATTTTATTTGTTTCTTTTGGTATTATCTCTGGTAAAGGTGTTGCGTTATCCCTATTACATGTGTTGGGGGTTGATTCGATAAACAAAGATTCAGTAATCAACCTCTTTCTCCACCTAATTATATTGGACTTAAGTACAGTAGTTTTATCCCACCCAGCCTATTGCATAGTTGTATGTTAATCCATTCATTGCAATAGTTCAGTTCTTTTTTCTAGATGATCGATCTTATTGGTGTCTAAACTCTTGTGTTCCGCTGTTCTAACTTGTTCCGATCAGCTACTCTGACATATGTACTTGACCTCACAGCTATTACATGGAACTTGATAGATCAGATTATATCGCTTGGTTCTATCGTATTCTTAAGTCACCCGACAAAGCTTATCTCTGAGTGAATTTTCAGGTTTAAATGCCACGCTGATCCCAGGTTTGTTAAGGATCGTAAGTGAAGTTTCTGATGTACCTTCCTTATAGGGTAACACGATGGAGGCTGTGAATTCCTTTCTACTCATGCTGTCGTTATTATTCGTACTCGTGTTAATGGTGGTATTTCGCTTCTTATATGTTTGTATGATGTTCTTAATAGACTGTAGAGGATAGTTATTAGCCATTAGCGCTTCTTCTATGTGCTACAGTTCCATTTTAAGGTCCTTGCACTGACTAGTCAGTTTTCTAGCTCTATTATTGAGTGTTAAATTACTCAGATTGAACCAGTTCAGCAAAATAATCTAATCTATCAAATTCCATGTCATCACTATGAGGTAAAGTACTGATATAAACATAAAGGGAATTCTATCCTCTATGTGAATTAAAACATTCCTGAGAGTATTTGCTATCTTGTTGAAGGCTTTAATTCGATGTTTTCTTAGAATCCTTCTTCAATTGTGACTTGGCGGAAACGTAGAACTACCGTATTTATTCAGGACTCATCATATAACTTTCCTCTTGAATTCTTCTGTACACGGTTCTTAATCTTCTAAATGGTGTTCTCAGGATAGTTATCAGAATATAAAACATTTGTTATTCATTTTACTTTTATCTGACTGTTGTCTTTATTCATGACGACCTTTGTAACCATCTTGAGTAACTTCAAAGCAAGTGAAAGTACAGCATTGAGTGAATATGATGAATAGAAATCAAGATGTCAAGTAGAGTATGTTGTTTTACTAGAAATTGATAAACCCAAATTCTTATTTTCATTCCTTAAAAAAATGGCAGTTCACCACTTTTATTTTCATATGGAAAAAAAGTCACAAAATTAACATTGAATATGTCAAAAAGGATTTTCTAACTTCTAACTTTAAAGTTTACTTGAAGTTTTTGATAGTTTGAAAAGATAAATTACATCTAATCAGTGTTAATACTGAGATGAAAATATCCTGTATAAGTTTCGCCCATTTATCATTTGAGATAGAGATATAAGCAATGAACTTTGTTGTCAAATTCTTTGACGTGAAATCAATGAATAATCTAGTATACTCTATGGAACTAGTATATTCTCTTTGGATAAGCAATTTCAGTTAAAGATTTTTCGAAGATTGTGTACCTACCTATACCGAAATCTTCTCAAGAATCAAAATAAATAATTTTATTTCATAGAGAAAGCTAGTCTGTTTGACTGATAAGTACATATAATCTTGTAATAACTCTTTCTGTATAAAGTTTTTTCACGAAATTGTGTTTCTTAATGTAATAAATAAATTACAGATAGATCTAAAAATAATTTAACAGCACAAATTTTGTTAGAAAACACTATGACGAAAGTAATGTAACTTAACAGGTGATGAAGTTCAGCAGATATGAGGCGTTTATATTATGTAAAATACTACTGTATTACTGTTAGGAAAAGTCATTAAATTAGTTAAACTGTTCATATTATTGAACAGTGATAACCTTACATAGTGAACCATAAATTGCGGTAGCATGTTTATTATTGTTTACTATTGAGGAACAATAGCATCGTGTAGATAAAACATTTGATCAACCTTTGTAACAGTTACCTTCAAAGTACTGGTTACAGTCGAGTCAACTTAAAAATGTAATGAATAGAAGATGAAAATCATGTTGACTGAATTCATACTCAATTATCCAGGCCGAAATACTTGGAGACGGAATCGAACTTAAGACCTATTGCTTGAAATTCCAGTTCCTGAGTGAATAAACCACATTTCCAGCAGTTGGTAGTACTTTTGCCTAATCTATATTGCTTAAAGATTAATCCATTCCATCTGATATTCGTCTTCTTTCAACATCTTTTTGTATCAACCCATTTAAAGTCACCTAAGTCTTATGGTGAACAAATTCATTACCAAAGTATTTTCATATTTGATGCAAAAAGGGATTACAAACATTTTAACAAAACATTAACCTACATCTTTCTGTTCTTGTAGTTCACTGAATAATTTTTTGATACTTTCCCTAATTGACATTTCAGTTGGATTGCATTGATAATTGTTGTGTGAAAGCATTGAAGCCAATGAATTTCTAAGCGAAAATTATGAAAATAATTATAATCTTAGGAATTTTTAGGGAAAAGTTACCTCTTTGCATACTTAGAAACATGATATATCGAAATACATTACTCTATAGAGTTCACTACTGACATGTTTCCCGATAGATATCCCGGAGTTCTAAAGACAAACCATGAACAACCAATGGGAAATGACTTCTTATTGTTATTATTATTATTTGTCCCTTGGGATCCAGTAGAATATAAGGATTCAGTAACTTGGCTCCATAACTTCTCACACCATCTTCTTCATGTCACTCACGGGCGCCGAAATCGTCGTTTCCCATTTGGATTCCACTCGAGGGCCAGGTTTGACACGTGATGCCACCAATCAGTCTTGCATATTTGTTGCTCGATAGGTTCTTGCTTCGCTGGTTCGTTGCCAGCCAGAGTCCCTTGTTGCTTACTCTTATTATTCTGGCCATCTCATCCTCAGTATCGAGTGAGAGTAGGCAGCAGTTGTTGGTGTATGTCTGTAGTCTGTTGGAAATGCTTTTCGTGACGCACCAAGTCTCTCAACCATCACAGAGAAGCATTGACTTGAATAGCCAGATGTTGTTCACGCTTTATGCTGAGTGGAGTGGAGTGCAGTGCAGTAGGTCTCCACAATAATTTCATATTAATGAAGAATGACCTGTCTTGCTGTCCTTCCGATCCTGGCTTTGACATCCTCATCTGTGCCGCCTCTGCCACCACCTGTAGTTGGAACGATGCTGTCCTGCCCAGGTAGGTGAAAGAGATAACTTCGTTTAGATTTCTCCCATTCATGGTGATTGGTGCTTCTTGTTGTAGTTGTAGTTGTTGTTGTTGTGTATCTTCATCACCTCTGTCTTCTCTACATTCATCTGAAGGGAGTCACATCTTTGTTGCACTGCCTCTTCTATCAACTTCTTGGTTTCTGCCTACAAATCTTCGAGTTTGTGTGACAAGACATTAGACATAAATCATCACCGTTGGCGAAATCCAAATCTCCTTCTGATGTCTTTTCATCTGTCCAGTCAGCGTATACCCCTCTTCTCGCTCCTAACAGTTTGTGGCTTAATGCAGTGCAGTGCAGTCGAGTCGAGTCGAGTCGAGTCGACCACAATCAGGAAGATGATTGGTGATAGTGGGTGGTAGCATTGTCTTACTCCTCTCTTCACTTGAAAGGGATGAGTGAGCTGAGCTTTCGATTGTGAATCACTTGGCATGTGGCATCATATGGCATATAGCTGTTGGATGAGGTTGATAAAGGTTCGTGGTATTAAAAGCGTAGTGTTGAAGTAGCTGTCAGTCAAATTACTTCTCGGTGAATGCTGTGGAAGACCATATCAAAATCTATGAAGTTGAGGTAGAGAGTTGACTTGCATTCTATGCTCTGTTCTATGATGATGTGTAGCGTAGTGATGCAATTTGATTCGGGAGTGAAGTCGATGCCAAAGGAAGACCCTGGTGAATAGTCGAGCTATATCGTTACTTGAAAGAAGTATGAAACTATGAACAATTCAATTCCGACTGAGTGGTTAACGCGTACGTCATGAAAACTGAGGATCCTAGTCCTGATCCTTGATAAAGTCATGGGTGTGTACTGTTGAGGAGTCCCATACTATGACGAAATAGGCTGTTCAGTGATCCTAGGCTTTCAATGGTTCTCCACCTGAAGAATACTACTCTAAGAATATCTGATTATTTTTATAAGGAAGAAAGGATTTCATTTCCTACTAATTAGAACATCTCAACGACTTAAATGCTGTTTAGTGTCCAAAGGAAAATGCCTAGAGTATTGGAAATCTGATGGCGGAAATTCTCTTAGATGATACATTCTATGAGGAGCATTTTATATGATATACTAGGCATTAGTTTTTCCCTACAACCATACAACCAAAATGTATCAATAAATTTAAGGATTATTCAGTCCAGAATACAAAAGTAATACAAAATATGATAACTTAAATTGTGGTCAATGAGAAGGATTCTTTTAATCTTCAGATAAGTGTCTTTTATTTTAATAGTGTTCCTCATGTCAGGAAACCAGACAACAACAAAAAGTAACAAACTTAAATATCTCCAAGGTGGTATTCATCACGGAATAACATGAACTATAGAACCATTGAAAACCTGAGAGCACATTATATTTGTTTCTTCCTAGTAAGGAACTCCTAAGCAGTGTGTAATCATGACCTCACCTCATCAGGGAAAGAATACGAGACCTTCAGTATGGGTGGCTAGCACGTTAGCGTCAAAACCAGTGGGTATAAATTCAATGGTCCACATTTTCATCCTTATGTCAGTTCGTGATATAAAGTGACCTTCATCCAATGTTGCCAATGATTCCATTGCACTCACGTAAAGCATGGTTTTCCCCAACCGTCACGAATCGGAATTCACGAATTCAAAATCTAGGAATCTGAAGTTTCAGGTCTGATCCCTAGAGTCCAATACAAGGACGAAATAGTTGTTTAGAGATCTCAGGTTTTCAGTGCTTCTGTAATTATTGTTCTCAACCTCATCGAATGATTTACCTCACTTACTTAAGACTCTATGCCTGGCCTACATGTTCTTGGTATGGGATTTCCACAGCTCCTGATTGATGATACGAAACATATGGCGGTTGTTGAAGTGGAGCAGCTTTATTGTTCCAACTTCCAATCTAAATAATTCACAGCTGTATACCAAAACAGACACTGATAAGACCAGTTGAGGACATCACGTGCCAGGCCCGACCAGGTTGTTGAGTGGAACTCAAATGGGAAACGACGAGTTGGGTGTCCATGGCGAGGGTGACATGGAGGAGATGGGTTTGAGGAAGGAATGAATGCTTATGAGCAGTTGTGGCCAAAGGTTAAGAGGACTGTAGAGAATAGAGTGCACTGGAGACGTGCTACTGAAGCTCTATGTTCCACTAGGATCCCAAGGGACAAATAATAATAATGTTTAAATATAGCAAACTGTTGTGCAGTGCCTTTGACACTTAGTGAGTAATTGGATACCTCATCTCTGCTTTGAAATATGGTGATAAAAGACAATTTAGCTATTTATATCCATGCTGAGATTTCGTCAGCTAACAATCTACCATGATTTATTGAACGTCTTTAGTAAGTGAAGTAATCAACGCATTCAACTACTTCACTCACGATTGTTCGATGAGGTAGTGACTCAGATGAGTTGTGAAGTAACAATTTACATTCACGGGAAAGAACAATGCATCTTAAGCACAATCATGAATCTGAAGGTTTATGAAAATTTACTTATTTATTTCATGTTGATATTCATCATGAACTGATATCAGTTAGAGAAACATTGGAAAACTGGAAGTACTAGATGGACAGCTATTTCGTCCTAGTATGAGACTCTTCAACAATCCTCACCCATAGCTACGCCAGGGATAATGAATTCTATTTTGCTAAACTTTCTCCTAGACAGTAGATAGTCATCCCTAGTCCCTAGCTAACCAGATGAGAAAACAATTACAACAAAGTAATTTTGAAAGAGTAAAAAAGGTAGTAACAAACCGAAATAATGCATTTTCTTCATCAAGTTTATTCTGATTTAACCAGTTGTATTTTTCAGTTCTTTGGGTTGTCTCCGCTAGTTGTTTCTCTAATTCTCTTATATGAATTTGAGCATCAATTGTTTCTCTAGACAATATACGACAACGATCTTCTAAGACTTTTTCATTATGCCGAAGATATTCTAACTCCTGAAAACAAAAAGTAAATTTTAGAAAATTCTCAACTACATATCTTTATAACAGATGGAATAAGCAAAACTTTTAGTCACTTATGTAGGGTGTAATGAATCTCTTCAGGATATGATCGTTTATCAAAGAAGGCAGAAATGACTGTCCTATAACCTGCTAGAAACTGATTTGTATAATATGACACCGGGACGAAAAAGCTATCCACTGCTTCCAGGTTTTCAATGGTTCTCCAACTGATGTCAGTTCGTGATGAATACTACCTCCAAATTAAAAACCTCATTCATCTCAAAAATACACTACTGTATTGTCCTCATTAGTGACATGCTTCCCAGTTGGATATCCCAAAGTTCTAATGAAAAGCCGTGACCTGTAGGGTCAACCAGTCGGAAGGAAAGCGTGTGTCATATAAAGACCTTGGGTGATAGTCGTCACGCCATATCACGAATTGACAGATGTTGGAAATTTCTAACCATCAAACTCTGACCTAGTCGCTGAATGGTTAGTGCGTTTGTGGTGAAGCCTGAAGGTCCTGACTTCGATTCCTAGCCGGATCGTGGGTGCGTGCTGCTTTCGAGTCATATACTAGGATGAAACAGCTGTCCACTCCTCTCAGGTTTTCTACGATGCTTCAATTGATATCACTTCGTGATGAATGTCAACTTGAAATCAATAAAATCCTTACGAACTTCAAAATAAGTCATTAGGCCGAATTACAATGTAGTATTGTGACTTAGTGGCTAAAAGGTTGCCACTGTGTGTACCGTTTAACTTTTTATACTCATGATACAGTGTACTACTAGACATGGCTGTTCTAATCCAACATCAATAATGTCAAGTTACAGTCCCCAGCAAGGACTCGAACTACGGATGAAGACATAAGCGATTACGCAATGTAATGACTCGTTGGGTTGAGCATAATGTGCTTTCATTTCTACTGGTCTAGTCTCTCAGCTGATGTCTTAGTAAAACCTTTTGTAGTAGAAATTAGTCGAATTAAGGGTTTGTGGGGGATTTAGGGATTTTTCAAGTTGGTATTCATCATAGACTGATATCAGTTCTAGGGAAACACTGGAAACCTAGGAGCACTGGACAGCTGTTTCATCCAACTAGTATAGGACCCTCTTCAGCAGTGTGCACCCATAAACACCTCCCTCAGGGATCGAGATAGCGATCTTTAGGTTCCGTGGTCAGCACGCTACCACTGAGCCACTAGGTGGGGATCCAATGGTCCGCATTTCTTACTTCCGTCAGTTCACGACATACCGTGACTTACATCCACCTACATCCACAAACCTTGAGATGGAATTGATCTAACGCTCATTGGCGACTACCTTCGAGAAATGGTTCCCGACGCTCCAGTGAGAAGTCGTGATCAACGGGGTAAACCTGGTGGCCGTGAGGACAAGTGCTGGACGATGATATTGAATGGCGGTCGCGCTATTTCGTGAAATATGGAAATATGGACCACTGAATTCCAACCTAGTGGCTCAATGGTAACGTGCTGGCCACAGGACCTGAAGGTCGCCGGTTCGGTCCCTGGGGCGCGGGGTCGTAGGCGCGCACTGCTGAAGAGTCCCATACTGGGACGAAACAGCTCTTCAGTGTTTCCAGGTTTTCAGTGTTCATCCAACTGATGTCGGTTAATGAAGAATACCAACTTGTAGAAATCAGTATTAAATAACTGCTGCTTAACGAATTCCATGTTTTACCTCTCACGGACAAGTAAACAGATGAACAAAATCAACGCATAACCTCACGCCCACCCTCATCAGTTCGAGTAGCCATACTTAACAGTAGCATGGGAATAAGAAGTGGATAGAAAAAGACTGATATCAAAGTAGATAAGAGAGAATAAAAAACCTGTAAATAACGCTTAGTATAAATATTCAAGCTTTGGCATATGTCAGCGAGTGAATACATCTGCGACATCGTGACTGATTTTCAGCTATTTTTTAGTGGGTGCTACTGATAAGAATGGATATAAGTAGTATATGTTGAGAAAGCGGTAGAAATCATAGGAAATTACCAGCAATGGGTAAATATTCTGCACAGAGAAACACAAGAGACAATGTGAGCATATTAAGAGCAAGTCGAGATAGAAGAAGAAGAAGAAGAAGAAGAAACGAAGTACATTGTGCAAATGACTATTTTAATGGAAAGTGTACGATATTTCACAGTACTGTTCAAGATGTCATTCTGTCCTGCGTCTCAGCCTTGTCGTTCCTTACAATATCACCAAGAGTCCTAGACCACTGATTTCTCTCGTTTCGAGGACCCCAGCTAGGCAGTATACACCTCCAAACAAGGATCAGACCAATAGTCAACGATCTCATCAACTGGTAGATTTAACTTCAGTTCACACTGTTTACAAAACGCAATGTACTTCTTGCCACAACCACCACAACGTCTTGCCTTTGAGTTGAATACGTATTACAGGTATGTTCACTCATCGTGAATATGTTACAACAAAAATGTTTAGCATCGTCTGTTGAGACACTTCTCAAATACCAGAAATTCTAAGATCACACAAGAGGCAATATTATTCAACTATGAAGGGTTTAAGTGTTATTACTTGTATTATACCATCGTTGATTACACCAAAGTGATCGATCTCTATTGGTATATGGGCTCCAGTGTGTATGCCTTGACAGAAGAGGCAGAGCAACAAAGATGTGACTCCCTTCAGATGAATGTAGAGAAGACAGAGGTGATGAAGATACACAACCAACAACTACAACTACAACTACAACAAGAAGCACCAATCACCATGAATGGGAGAAATCTAAACGAAGTTATCTCTTTCACCTACCTGGGCAGGACAGCATCGTCCAACTACAGGTGGTGGCAGAGGCGGCACAGATGAGGATTCAGAGCCAGGATCGGAAGGACAGCAAGACAGGTCATTCTTCATTAATATGAAATTATTGTGGAGACCTACTGCACTGCACTCCACTCCACTCAGCATAAAGCGTGAACAACATCTGGCTATTCAAGTCAGTGCTTCTCTGTGATGGTTGAGAGACTTGGTGCGTCACGAAAAGCATTTCCAACAACTACAGACATACACCAACAACTGCTGCCTACTCTCACTCGATACTGAGGATGAGATGGCCAGAATAATAAGAGTAAGCAACAAGGGACTCTGGCTGGCAACGAACCAGCGAAGCAAGAACCCATCGCTCAATAGGCATGTAGGAGAAAGTGGAGATGGATTTGACATACACTGAGAAAACCATTCAGAGACATCACGCGCCAAGCTAGGCTCTTGAGTGGAATCCAAATGGGAAACGATGAGTTGGGTGTTCGAGGCGAGGGTGACATGAAGGAGATGATAAGAGGAAGAAATGAAAGCTCATGAGCAGTTGTGGCCAAAGGTTAAGAGTACTGCAGCGAACAGAGTGAAATGGCGACACGCTACTGAAGCCCTTTGTTCCAGTAGGAACCCAAGGGACAAATAATTAAAATCGTCTACGCAAATCTCAGTATACATCTGTAGCTGTTCCTATATAAAAATTTAAAAACTGTCTGAATAATAATTCTATGAGCAATTTCAGACAAATTTCAAGCTATCGATGAAAAAGGCCATCTGCTATATGCACTTAGCAAAGTTTTACGCTCTAATTGTATTCGAAGTCATTAAGCTTCATGTTTGCTGATGCCCCAACAACTACATGGTTTGACTAATATTCCCTATGTATGCATGTGTCCTAAATAAACATGTAAAATAGTAAAACGAAAAGGAACCTGAAGTAATCATTTATTTGAAACAGTTAGATCCTTTCGTCAACATGGATAAGAAGATAGAGTCAGTCTGAAAAAGCTGATGTAATTGCACCACACATTTCAACTAATCTGATTACGCACTCGTTACAGTATTTTATAAGAAAAATCGAAAAGGAAGAAGTATTTATAAAACAAAAAGGTAACGAAGGGAAAGTAATACATTTCGAAGTTAATATTGTTAATAGGACAGGATAAACATTAGCAGGATAGGTTTGGTGTAGAGACAAATTATCGTTGAACACACAGGGGAGCTTAAAATGGGTGCATGGAACCAGAACTTCAAAAAACTTAAGTACACGCCCTGGATGGTTTCCATAAGAAATCATGAAGGTTACTTTAATCATAATGTGTCTCAATGGATGATAAAAATGATGGCTATCAGCTGCCTGCACTAGCAGAAGCATCCAGAAAGCGTTTTTCGTTCTATTTGGGACTCATCAACTGAGTGATGTTATTCGCACCAAGAGTCGATGCATAAACCTATTACTTCAAATGCTAGAGCTACGAGGTCATAATAAAGGCTCCTTACTTGACGGATATAGTTTAATGTTATAGGCAGTAATTTCTTATCGTTTCTTTTTCAAAATCTACCTACCAAGGGTAACCTCAAGGGTTAAAATTGTATAGTGGCTGAAGAGACTTTCAACGTTCTCGGGCGAAAAATTATAAACTTTGCTGATAAACGGGAACTTATTGTGACAAGTGTCTTAGTGGTACAAAGTACATGAAATGTTTGCGAAATTAAGTGAATTCATCCTCAGATTTCCCGTCCGTCACATCAATTCTCTTCACTGTCTCAGTGTCACTCGTTTTTAAAGGAACTTCTCTTTTCTTAGTCACATCCTTATTTCCAAGTGAGCTATTCTATGACCTGACTTCTGATAATTTCGCGAGCAAACGACTTGATTGTGGCTAGAAGTGGAATTCAGTACCCATGTTTCATCCTGTTTTGGATTCGTCAGCTGAATGTGCCTACACGCCAGTGAGTGGTGTTGTTCCCACTGAGACTCGAACCACGTACTCACCACTTCAGACGCCAAAACGTTATCCACTAGACACTTCACTTACCTGAGAAGTCGGGTCAGCCCTGGTGGCTCAGTGACCGACGAAATTTCTGCATGGGTACAAAAGATTCGGTTGGCATTCGCCAACTTACGACATCTGTGGCACCGCCACGACACCAGATTGTCTATTTAGGGTTGAGTGTACTGTGCTGCAGTTCACTCTTTTCTACTGTGTAGTTATGAAACAGGGGGAACAAAGGTAAAAGAAATGAGTAGGCTTCAGGTGTTTGACCACCGTTGCCTTCGTAGCATAGGCCGTGTTTCGTGGTGTCACCACGTAAGTAACAGAAGTCAGGCGTAGAGATTTAAGCAAGAGAGATGAGACAGTTGATGAGGTTTTGAACCTTCATCGACTGAGATGGCCGGGGCATGTAGTACGTATGCTTAACCAACGTCTGCCTCATCGCACAATGTTGGCCGAAGTAGATTCAATCTGGAAAAAGGCTCAGGGCGACCAGACTAAAACATGGCACCAATGTATGGAGTCTTTGACTGTTGGTTTGAGCTATGTGATGCAATGCAGACTAGACGGTTGGGGTTCACGAGACAGGAGAAACCAGTGGTTTAAGACTTTAGGTGATTTGCCTCAGAACCGATGTCAGTGGCGCAGATGCATACGCGAGTTATTCTCGTGCTAACCGCTATACGTAATATCATAGTCTTCTTATTCTTTCCTCTCTTTTACTACTTTCTACTTCTGCTTCCTTCGACCGATTCTTTTTCCCTTCCTCATCTTCCATTTTATTGCCTTGTTATTTGATGTGCTGATATGAGGTGTGACAACTTGAACTGTTACGCAGTAATGCCTGGTTCTATGTTGATCTTGACGATGATGATGACTGAGGCATGATAGCCACCTCTTGTACAACTGGTATTAGCTATTATCACTTCTTTATACTTGGATCCCACAGTAAACCACAATCAGCCAGTATCCATGCCTCCTCATAGAAACCGATAGGCTAACTGATGTCGATATATTTCATCCAGTAAAACAACGGAGAATTACAAGTATGTCAATAAATAATAATTTTGTAAATATATGCACAAATCTTATCAAATTCATTTTTCTTCTATTAGATCAGCAAATTTCACAGTTAGCAGTATGACATCGCTTTCCTCTAATTACCTGTTGCTAAGGAAAGTCATCAAACATTTACCAATGACGATAGTTTATGTTATCTAGAAAATTCACCGTTTTTTATTTTATTTGATCATAACACATAGCTTTAAAATATACAAACTTACTAATTATATAGAGATGATTAAATGGTAGTTAAAGGAAATCAATCATTTTCAGATTACTACTATCTTAAAAACATGTCAATGCGAAGTATTTTATTTTATATTCATGCCTTAAATAAGTGAAAGCCTTGAGAACAAGTCACTCTAAAGAATACTTTAAATAAATAGGAGTACTGTCTTTAAAGTCAATGAATGAATTACAGGGTGATTAACAAGCATGAAAAACACTTTTTCCCTAAAATAACTTTTTAAAAAATCCAAGTAGAATGTCAGAACAACTATTCAACAGTGCTGTTGTTTGATGGTTGCATTATATCGTAGACCATTAGCTTTTGACCCAGTGACTCACTGATAACATCCTCACCGGAAATCCTTAAGGTCGTTGGTTCGATACCTAGTGGAGTTGTGAATACTCACTCCTGAGGAGTCCTATAATAGGACGGAGAATGTCTCTAGTGCTCCCAGATTCTCAGTGGCTCTCCAATCGATGCCAGTTTATAATGAAAAGTTGTTGTAACATGTTATTACCAACCTATAGATGACGTAACAATATGAATTTATCATAGTTTTTATCAATCATTTAAGTTGGCATAAGAGGCAGCAAAGACAGGACTTCGAGGGAATTTAGAGAAGACAGAAGTGATGAAGATACCGCACCACCACCACCACCAACAACAACAAACTCCAGTCACCATCAACGGGAGAAACTTAAAGGAAGTAACCTCCTTCACCTATCTAGGAAGCACTGTTTCAATCACAGGCAGCACAGGCACAGATAAGGATGTCAAAGTCAGAATCGGAAAGACTGCAAGACAGGCGTTCATTAGCCTGAAACCAGTGTGGAGATCTTCTGCACTCAGCATGTGGAACAAGATCCGGATTCTCAACACCAACGTCAAGTCAGTGCTTCTGTATGGTTGAGAGACTTGGAGCGTTATGAAAGGGATTTCCAATAAACTACAGACATCCATCAACAACTGACGCCTACGCTCGCTGCTGAAGATCAGATGGCCAGAATAGAATAAGCAACAAGGAGCTCTGGGAACGAACCAACCAAGAACCTATCACCCAACAAATATGCAGAAGGAAGTGGAGATGGATTGGATTGGGCATACACTGAGAAAGCCGACTGGGGACGTCACGCGTCAGGCCAGTTGCTCGAGTGGAATCCTCATGGGAAGCGACGAGTTGGACGTCCGAGGGTGACATGGAGGAGACCGTGCGAGGAGGAAATGAGAGCTTGTGGTCTATCGTGGAGCGAGGTTCAAAAGATTTCAGAGAACAGAGGTCACTGAAGACGTGCTACTGAAGCCCTATGTTCCATTAGGAACCCAAGGGACTAATAATAATAATAATAATAATAATTTATCAATCATTTAGAGAAAAAAAATACCTGAGCTAAGTCTTTATTTTCTTTTTCACAACATGTATTCTTCGTCAATAGTTCACCTAAACGATTCACATTACGTAATTGTTCAGTATTTTCATTTTCACGTTGTTTTAATCTATCCATTAAATCTTGAATATGTCCCTTATTTCTTAAATTCTCATGAACAACATCTTTTGCCTATTAAATAAGGAGAATATATAAAAAACGTGAGAATAAAAAATATCCTAAAATCTGGTTTAATTTTCAGTTTAATAGTACAATAGTACTGTGGTGCACGTCGAGAAATTCGAGATTAAGAAAATTTCCGGTTAATAAATACAGTTTCGACTTTTTGCGACAAATCATCCAGTTTGGAATCCTTTTATATCGTTAGTTTTCATATATGCATACATTTTATCAAAGCAGCAACAAAGTATGATGGAACAATGTACATCATAATCCACTGAATAGAAATTAGTCAATGATTCAGTCCGTTCTCCTTCTACACTGTCGTTAATGCAGATAACATCAGAAATGGACTTTGAATTAACATGCATGTCTTCACTTGGCAAGACGAATGAATACAGTAAATATCTGGAAAAAATTAATCCTAAGTGAAATATCTCCAATAAACAAAGTCTAACCATTTCGGATATCTCAATGGAAACGGAGTGTTTTTATTTTTATGTTCACCAGCACACAGAGCTGAAGATTAGCACACATCATAGAATATACTGTGAATAATTCGAAAAAGGGTGCACTATCTTCAATAATTCATACCATATTTAAACAGGATTCCCTCTTTATCTATCAATCCTGAGTACAGTGATGATAATATTCCTTACTAATTATTTCCTGATACTCAACAGCCAACCCCATTGCCAATTAAATAATTTTGTAGCGAGATTTTAATTAGCAGAGTAGATAGAGTATCTTATATTATCAGAAAACAATAACAAAAGGCGACATGCCTAGTCCTTATCTGGGCTTGAAGTAAGTTGGAAGCTCTGGACTTAAATCTCTAGCTTAATGGCGCTTGTCAGTAAGGCGTATTTGCGGCCTCGAAGGAAGTGATGTCCCGCCTGGAATTCGAACCAATATCACCCAGTACTGTAGTCAGAGACGTTAACACTGAGCTACTAGGCCAGCGACTGGCCTATTGTAGGAGTGCCGATTGCCTCCATTCAACTGACATCTATAGAAGTACAATGCGATGGTAGTTCTCATAGCTTTTTAGCCATATTGCAAAAAGATCAATAACATTCAATCAGCACTTAGAACTAGACAACGTGGAGTTGATTAGCCTCCAGTGATTAATCAGTGTATATTTTTGGGTTGTGAATTTTCAGAAATCCCCTGGAATTCTACTCCACGAAATTATATTTGTAGTGTGTATGACCAAAACCATTGGTCTGAAGATACATATAAACGATTGCAACAGGTTTTGTTCACACTAACATTACTTTTTGTGTTTTACGAGAATGCTACATCTGTATTTTAAAAAGTATACTTGAACTACTTGTAAGTAGTACAATTTTTAAATTTTTTTTTCCCAGTAGGGAAGCACACGACATTATATGAAGAAAATAATATGAAACATCTCATTCATTTCAATATAAATTGAGTGAATATAATGTACATTTCCGAATAAAATAGAAGCAAGTACAAAAGGTGTGTATGCCTAGTGAATTTATTTACCTAGAAAAGTTGAAAGTCATTTTCAGCGTCAAACAGAAAACAACTGAACACTACTTTTGAAAGTAGTTAGCATTTTAGTAGAAATGTACACTCATAAATTATTATATGACATGGTGTTGAAAAAAGATCTTTGATGAATTCTAGGGAGAATTCCTAAGCCATCACAAATTATGGATATTTTACAAGTTCAACAATGACATCGTTTTATAAAGGAAATCACTTGTGACTAACATACTGCCAGTATTATGGATAAAAGGTGATGAAACTTTAACAATAGAAGTATGGTCTAAGTTGCAGTGACAACGACTTTATTCCCGACAGTATGTTTGTTACAGCACGAAATACTCAGGATGTTTACTCCTTTAGTAGTGATAATGGATAAGGGCTAACAGTGGAATCCAGAGTGAGCGTTTCATCATATTTGCGGCTCATCAGCTGAGTGTGTCTGTCTGCACCTATATATCATTACTATTAGATTGAAATTACAGAAAATATCAAGGTATTTGTGTAGGAGCTGATATGGTAATAGAGACCGACCAGTTTGATCCAATCAACGACGAGAAATCGCAAACGATTATCTAAATGTACCCTCTGCAGAGTATGTCTGAACGAAACAATCATATCATCTTGGTAATGTTAATAATAGCAGTACTATAAGTAACTATATGCAACATTCATCTGTTGCTACGCTGTTATTTGGTCTGTAGGTTCGAGGTGGAGCAGAATGAATGGAAAAGTGATGACGATTTATTCACCCGGCAGTAAAATCTGTATTTTAAGATAACTACTTTAATGATGGATACATGATGTATTGTTGTGCGTTCAATAGCCTATTCATGTCTGTCGTGACGTTTTCTCTTAATTTTATCATCAACTTACAAAATGTCTGGTTGAAAAAATTTTAAAAAGGTAAGAGTGTACATAAGGCGATTTAGAGATATGTTTTAATCATTAAAACAAGTTGAAAGGGAGTAATTTGGTGTAATATGTCTGGTAGGAAAATTTTAACAGTCTATTGGTTTCATCATGCCGTCAGAAAACTAGTAAGAATTTCCTAAGTGAAATTGTATCCGGTTAAATGTTAAAGCACTGTGACATCACACTCCAGAAAGCGATAAACCGTCGAAAGCAACACGACTTCATTAAAATTTCTAAAGAGTCTAAAATCGAAAAACGTCAATAGCATTAGGCAAGAACTATTTCTTTTGATAACACTGATGATGGATAGTGGTTAGCAGTGGAATTGAGGACGTATGATTCATCCTATTTCAGACTCATTAGCTTGATGTGTTTGCAATTTAGTGATCCATAGTATACCCACTGAGACTCGAATCTGGTATCCCTCATATCAAACGTGAAGTCCGAAATGAGAAAAAATACACATCCTAGATTCCATTACTAGCCAATATCTGTCTTCAATATCAAATGAAATAACCAGCTACATTAAAGCATCAATGGAGAAGCCTAAATGCCTGAAGAGTTCAATCACTTCTGTCCAAACTAATAAAAAACAGAAAATAATAAATCATTGTAATTCTGATTTTATTGTTAATTGAACTGAAATTCTAGAAATAAGTCAAATTCAAATGACCTTGACATTAAATTCATATTTGAAAACCACTGTAGTTAGATAAAAGGGTTCAAGTATTCAATTCCAAGAATAACTGAAATACACTATAAATACATGAATTTATCATTTCCTGAAGATATAGATCAATAATTTGATTTATTTAATCAAAAACGTTAGTTAACTAAAACAAATTAAACTATGTAAACATTGAACAAAAAAGGGATTACTTTTGTTAATAACTTTTCTAATTTTTTTTCATCCTTCCAATCAGTAATGTTTAAATGTTCGTTTTGTAAAAATGTATCAAATATATGAATCATTTTTGTTATAAAGCTTTCTAAGCGTTTTTCAGTTTCTACAAGTTGATAATCTGCTTTTTCCTTTTCTTCTAATTGTTTACTAGAACAAAAAAATGGAAGAAAAAAAGATAAGTAAACGATTTGTTTACAGATTACAATTAAATAGAGAGACGAACCGTCTGAACTTTGCCAACAGTTATAGTAGCAGAGATATGCCGAATAAATGATTAGACCAGAGACCAATTTACCTACTGGCTCGGAACGTGACTTACCTGCGGCAGCTCCATACTACATGTTTTCTAGTACTCTATATCAAGTGATCTCTTCATATGAAAGTTACTATGCATCAGACACACTTCTTGATTGATGCTGCTTACGATAAGAAGAAAGATGCCTGAAGTCTATATATAACTACTGTCGTTTAGACGAGTAACCATTTCAACGTCTATTTCCATGCACTATGACAAGTATTTCCAATGATATTAATAAATACTACCTTTGAATGTTATATGGTGAACTGGAAATGCATTGATTAAGACATTCACCTTGATTATATAACTGTGGATACTTTACTGATGCTCCAAATAGTATACGTGAGTCGTTTGTGATTAGCAAAGCTAAAACCTGAATAACTTTCTAATAAATAGTGGGTTATATTACTAAAAAGCAAATTATACGAATGAACTAACAAGATCGGGTGGTTATAACCCAAACTCAGAACATTGCATGTTTTTTCTTAATTATTACTATTATTATTTGGCTTTTAGGTTCCTGATGGAACATAGAACTTCAGCGGCACGTCGCCATTTCATTCTAATCTCTGAAGTCTTTTCAACCTGGTTCAACGACTGCCCACAAGCTTTCATTTCTTTTTCACACGATCTCCTCCATGTCACTCTCGAACGCCCAAATCGTCGTTTCCTGTCATGCTTTTTTCAATCCTGGCTTTGACATCCTCGTCTGTGACGCCATCTGTAGTTGTAACGGTGCTGCCCTTCTAGGAAGATGAAAGAGACTACTTCCTTTAGGTTTCTCCCGTTGACGGTAATTGGTGCTTGTTGTTATTGACTGGGTATCTTCATCAATTTTGTCTTCTCTACGTTCACCTGAAGGAAGTCCCGTCTTCGCTGCCTCGCCTCTTCTGTCAACTTGTTAGTATTCGCCTGTGGATCTTTGCGTTTGTGCGACAAGACATTAGACATAAATCATCATCGGCAAAATCCAAATCTTCCAAGGTCTTTTCATTGGTCCACTGTATCCCCATCTTCTCGCTACTAATAGTGGAACCTATCTGTATGATGAGAGATGGAAAACTTATACCCATCAATGACCTCATATGTGAATTATTTATTAATAAATACCATTTTTTTAAACCTTCAAGAATTATCAATTTAACAATGCTTGTAAACTTGTATCTCTCACGGTTAATCCATTATATGAGAATAATACTTATTGTTATCTAAACTTTAACACTGTGTATATGCTGAAAAGTGACATTTTCTAGTTTGCTCGATAACTAGCGGGATCTTCTGGTGTTTTTTTTAGTAGTTTAATGACCTCCCTTCTGTACCACTCAGGATTCGTAAAATCTTGTAGATTTTTCAACATATATCAATTTGATGATGCCTGTAAACTGGCTTTTCTCAAGTTAAATTACTAATGTGAGAATAAAATATTTATTTATAAAATCAACGTAGAATATTGCACAGCAGTACATTAGTTCAATATGCCATACTTCCCATTAGTATTCGACTAACAAATGGGTAGAAAAAAACTGATACCAAAGTAGACAAAGATGTATGCGAGGAGAAAAAATTTGAAAACGAAGGTTAGTGAAAAGATGAATACATCTGCGCCATTGTCACCAAGAATGTTCAAACATTCATTCCTATGGTATCTGGGACACTAAATAGGTGGCCTACATACCTCTACATGATGCAGACTAATAGTCGAAGACTTTATGAATTAGTGCTATATCTCGTTTCAGTCACTCTGAATCTTCTTCTGACCTAATCCAAATTAAGTTAGCATTGAACATCGAGGTAGGTGTTTGCTCAGTATAAGCAACACATAAAAATTCACACAACTAAATGTAAACAACTAAACTTATTTGGTTATTCATTTGAACAAGATAAGCGTAGATGGAACCTTCAGTTGAATTCCAGGAAATAATTAGAAGTATCAGTCAACAAACTTGGAGGAAACAATCCAGATCACCAGTAACTAATACTTTTTCAACCATGTCGTCTTAATAACAACTAAGTCTTATTGCAGTCGTAAATAGTTTTCACTTTTCTACGTCATCTGTTTCATTTCCTTTTCATTATTTTTAATTTAAATAAAACCTTCACAATCTTTAAAATTGTACATTTTTTTACCAGAATTTATGTTGATTGTTTTAATTAGTTAATGAGCAAAACACAAAAATATGCAATAAAATTAAATTTGAGACAAATGAAATTTGAACCACCAGGTAAGATTTTAAAACTTGAAGTTAACTACTCTTTTAAAAATCATTTTATTAAGAGAAAAATACTAAGTTACTATTCATTGCAGATTAATATCAGTTAGAGAATCATTGAAATAGGGAGCTCACTGAACATCTGTTTCGTTCTAGTATGGGACTCCTCAGCAGTGCGCACCCATAACAGCGCCTTGCAGGGATTGAACCCGGAATATTCCGGTTCTGCGATTACCACCTTCCCACTCGCTTGGAATCTAATAGTTCATATTTCCCACATCTATCAGTTCACGAAGAGGGGGCCCATACTAGGACGAGATAGTTGTCCAGTGCTCCCAGCTATCCAATGTTTCTCCAATTGATGTTACTTCATGATGAATATAAACCTTGAAGTTAATAAATAAATCCCCACAAACTTCTAAATCGAAAAAATATACATCTCTCTGAAAAACTGTAAACAAACAGTAAGAGGTACTAGTACATTTCACCTTAAGCGTTTTTTCAGTTCATCTGCTTTATCTTGTTCAGTTTTCAATAGTTGTTTTAAACTATTTAATTCTTTTTTGCACATTTCATATTCAACAGTATTTTTATTGATATCTGTTTTATTATCTGATAATTGTTTATGTAATTTTTCATTTTCTGTTAGTAAATCAGTTTGCTTTTTAGTTAAATTGAGAATATCTGTCTCAGCTCTTGTGAGAAGTGTTGACTTCGCCTTTAATTCACTCTCCTGACTTAATGTCTATATAAATAAATAGAAAAACAATAATTTAAGTCAAACAGTGAAAATTGATGATTTTAAACAATTTTTACAGATTTATTGATATACTTGTAATTCTCCGTTGTTTTACTGGATCGAATTGATCCGTCTCCATTGACATATGGGCTCCTATGAGGATGCCTCGATACTGCCTGAATATTAATTATAGTAACTTGCTTGGTTGTGGCTAGCAGAAGAGTCCAAGCTGCGCGTTTGTCCTATTTGAGACTCATCGGCTGGATGTATCTGCAACCCAGTGAGCGATGTTGTTCCCACTGAGACTCGAACTTCGTATCCATCGCTTCAAAAGCCGAGGCATATCAATAAATAGTAATAACTAATGTCCGTTGTACAAAATGTAGTTATCGTACCTCCATGGCCTTGTGAATAGTACTTTGGCGTTTGAAGTGATCGGTACGAGGTTCGAGTCTCATTGGGGTGCAGGTACATCCAGCTGACGAGTCCTAGACAGAAAGAAACGCTCGTCCTGGATTCCTTTGCTAGCCACAACCAAGGAAATTACCATAATTTTAACAGAGTTATAAGAATACTAATTTGAGTATTTCTCTAAATATCATGAAGTGATAAGGATTCAAGTTACAAAACCTTCCAATGTTTTCTAAATTTCAAATTGGCACTAAATTTGGTTTATCTCTAAAGCTGAATAGGAAGATAATTTTCAAAGGATAATTTATGGCTTCTTCTTTACATAGATGTCGATGGAAGACAGTTTTTCTCATAATACAACTAAATACAAAAGACATGAAATTGGCGAAAAGTTATTGTACAATTTGCAAAACAAGACTTTTAAGGTTTGATTTCAGAACAGATTAAAATTTAGGTCGAGCTACTTCATTTATGATAATAGTGAGATAGATGCCTATTTGACAACCACTTTCTATTCATGGTAATTAATTTGAACGTATGAATGCTTTACTTTCATCAGTAACTTTTTCAGCAGTCCAAGACACAAGAGAATCCATTTATATGTTCTGAGAAAGGTTTGTCATACTTTTATGGGAGATACAGTGACTTACAACCTATTATTATCTTTTCCTTGGGTTCCTAGTACAACAAAGGGCTTCAGTATCACATCGCCATCTCACTCTCTTCTCTTCAGTCTTCTAAACCTGGCTCCACGACTGCCCATAAGCTCTCATTTCTTCTTCACATGACCTCCTCCATGTCACTGTCGAACGCCCAACTCGTCGTTTCCCATCTGGGTTCCACTCAAGGGCCTGGCGCATGATGTCCCCAATCGGTCTTCCCAGTGTATGTCCATTCCATCTCCACTTTCTTCTGCATATCCGTTGGGTGATTCGTTGGGTTGTTGTTTGGTTTGTTGCCAGAATTCCTTGTTGCTTATTCGTATTATTCTGGCCATCTCATCCTCAGTATCGAGTGAGCGTAGGCGACAGCTGTTGATGTATGTCTGCAGTTTGTTGGAAATGCTTTTTGTAACGCGCCACGTCTCTCAGCCATCATATAGAAGCACTGACCTGATTGACTTAGTGTTTAAAATCCGGATGTTGTTCACGCTTTATGCTGAGTGCAGTAGATCTGCACACTGATTTCAGGTTAATGAAGGCCTGTCTCGCTGTCTTTCCAATGCTGGTTTTGACATCCTCATCTGTGCCTGTGCCGCCTGTAGTGGAAACGATGCTGCCTAGGTAGGTAGGTGAAAGAGACATCTTCGTTTAGATTTCTTCTGTTGATGGTGATTGGTGTTGATTGTTGTTGACTTACAACCTACTAAAATCTTGTAAACAAAATCTAGCATATTTATGGAGTATTTGCTGTTACTCAGCAACTTAGGTAACGTTAGTTACCACGTTAAGTACATTAACTACTTTTGCTTGCGTTGCTTAAAAGACAGTGACTAGTGATACTAACTCAAACAATAATCCACCCCGTGTCTGACGAATGCATATCAGCGGTAAACTCAACAGTGAAAAGAGTGTCAAGTAAGTATGCCAAACAGTTGAAGGCTCTGTGCTTAAAAATCTATGAGTGCCTGAAAGCTCATGGTGAGATGTAAGGAGAGTTGTATACATTGAGTGGTGTCCGTCAAAGGTATCCACTATCTCCATTCTTACTTCATAATGTCAAAGACTTTCTTATGGAAGTCTCACCTTACTCGCTTGACTTAACAGTCATTAACCTCCTCACAGGAGACTGCTTAGTAAACCTAGAGTGAGCAGATGAGAGGAAGATATTGACAAGATGAAGCCTCCTCAACATCTTGAGTGGCAATTTGAGAATGCATAGGAAGCGTTTTAAACCACCTAAATGAAAACCGTTACTCCAATGATAGAGATTAAAGTGCTTGAGTACACTGATCGTTTCCGAAACTTAAGATGAGTTCTTTTGAATCAGTGACTAACAAAATTTCTCTACAAATATGAAAGGTTCAACTAGTTTTCACCAACCTACGATATTTACGGTGCCACAGTGGAGTCCCATAGCTGATTGAAGGTGGAGTGTACTGCATTATAGTTTGCTTTGTTATACTATAAGGTAGTGAAACAAGGTGAATAAAAATAGTAGACATCAGAAACTTCTAGATATTCAACCACCGTTACCTTTATAGCATACGTTGTACGCCGCAGAAACCCAGTGTCAGTAATGCAGAAGTTGGGCATGGCGTTTGGGTAGCACATAAACGTCATTCAAGGAGATTGTAGACTTTCATCGACTATAATATCTTGAACATGTGTTAAGCGTGCCTATTCACCGTCTGCTGTATCACTCAATGTTAAGTGAAGTACGTTCAGGTTGAAAAAAGGTCACAGGAAACCAGGATGAAACATGACGTCAGTTCATCAAATGATTTGCCTGTTTATCAGATTCGTGCAAGGGGATAAAGACTTCTCGGCTGGGGATCCATGTGAAAACCAAAATCGGTATTTTGAGACACTAGGTGATATGAACCAAAGCCAATTTCAGTGAGGAAGATGTATAAACAAATAATCTTTATTTTAATCGTTATAAAGAATTGTATTGTTGTCTCATTCCTCCTTGTTTGTTTTTTGAGATTTTTACCATTTTCAACTGCCCTTTTCCTTAGTTCCCTATTTCCTATTGCACTGCCTTCTATCTTGATGCGGTGATGTTAGGCATTTAACATGAGCTGTTACGCAATAATGCTAGGTCCTATACTGATCCTAACTCACTGATATCTGAACATTATTCCTTTTGTTCAAAATTACGTCAACTAGTTTATGGCTAACACTTTTTGTTATCGTTATCGACGAAATCACTTATTCTAACCGTACGGATATAAAATACTAGGCTAGACTGAAATAATATAACTGAAGAAAACACTCTTGAAAGATTTACAGATCTGAAATTTATACAAATTCTAGGAAATCTGAAACTAAAAAATAAAAAAATCTTGAAAAATTACTTTCTCGCATAACTGTTCAACTTTACTTCTTAAAGCTGCAAGTTCTTCACGTTTTACACACATTTGCTGCTGTTCCTTCTCCTTATCCTCCTCTGCAATTGCCTTCGCCTTCATAGAATTAGCACTGAAATCATCACATGGAGGCGTCTGTTCTACATGTTTAACTTGACCAATATCCATACTGATGATCAGAGTAAACATACGCCCAAAATCTATGTGATGCTGAAATAAATCCACTTACCTGGATAACTGTTGAATTAATTCATCTTTTTTCTTGATTTCATCTTGATATATTTTAATCTTTTCTTCCAACTAATAAAAAAAATTAATTATTTTATTATTTAAAAAGGCTAATTCTCAGTTGTATCAATGCAACTTCCAATTAAAGTGTTTTCAACATAAACTTTCGTCAATAAGTAGCATGAATAATAGCAAATCCAGTTCATTAAGAAATTAATTCAGATTTCTACATCTCTTATCAGCGCAGGATCATGGACCATAAATAAGCAAGCAGAAAAAGAATGTATAAAGTGGATTTTGAATAACTCCGTCAATCATTTTTTAGTTCGTTTACTATGCTATATATCGCTTGTACCTTGTGGTAACTTGTGCTATCACCCGGTCACTAAAACCTCAGTAAGTTAGGTGAAGTTTGGAGCTAAAACTCAACAGTTGAAAGTTAAGTACCAGCGGTACTAGGCTATCTACTTGACAACCAACTTTGAGGCATCCACTGTTCTTAACCCTTAAATGATATGGTTTTACTGACCTTCAGCGCTTCTGTGTAGTTTTAGAGGGACACCTTACGTGATTTCTCTAAAACCATAGGCAAGCCTCATAGGCAATGTAAAATTCCACACTTTATTATATTTTTCAAAGCTGAAATTTCTTCTTTACAGTGCCAGACAAGAGAAAGCAATTGATTTTACGTAAAAAAAACTAAAGACGAATACAGAACAATCTTAACTAGAATCAGATGTAAATGATGTAGATAGTGAATTTAATTGGTCTATTATGACCGACTTTCAACCATTTTACTTCAATTCCCGAAACACACAACATTCATTAGAAAATTATCATAGTCTGAACTTCGGAAGTACTGTGAATTAACGGTAACTGATTTAAAGCTGATATCATCTGCATCCAGTCAGGTAACATAGTGATTGGGAAACTGCTTTAACACATTCCAAAGGCATGATGATTGTCTATTTATTTGAAATTCGAAGCTAGAACGGAATTTGCGCAAAGAAATTCATCGACAATCAAACAGGTTATACTTATCGCAAGAAGCAAGCCCTAAATAAGTAAATTATTAAGACATTTAGTTATCAAACAGTTGAATAAACTCAAAAATTAGCTTACAGTTCTTCAGTATTGTATAATTAGCTCTATTTCAGATCAAATACACCTCACTTGAAGGTAGTGACATCGTCAAAAAAGACATTGGCTTAGTAAGCATAAGTTCAGAATAAAAAACCAATTTCGATCAAAGTTCATTAGATGTTTAACAGATCTATATGCTCTATGCTCTATGCTCTATGATCTATGCTTGACAATGCTCAGCCTTCTTTCCACTTTATTTTACTCTAGCTAACACTAAATGCTGAAACAGATAACTCAGCATATCTCAGCATCATCGACTGTCTTGACTGTCTTGCTGACATCTCTTTGACTCCAAAACTAGTCCTTGATAATTAGAAAAGTAAGATGGTAGACAGATTATACCTAACCTATGTACATTGTTAACCTTGCCTTGGTGGCCGAATAATAAAAGTGGCAAGTGATATCCTAGGCAAGCATAAATGCAATATGCTTGCAACATTTTGAATCACTGGAAGTAGTGCAACTGCAAAATGGACAAAATGTATTCTGTACACAGAGGGAAGACAAGAGACAAACGATCATCAAAGCCTAAAGGACTGGTCATTTATAACAAAAGATATTGTGTTCACACAGTTACTGAAAAACTGGAACCTAACTCTCTTTTCTGACAAACCTTTAAGCCTCCATATTCTTACAAACAACATGAAAACACTTTGGTAAGAAATACTCACTGAAACACAAACTATATAGCCTTGTAAGTACTTCTGATGTTACTGTTATACATGTTGGCAGATGCTAGTGCTGAGAACTACAATTATCTCTTAAAATACTATTATCTAATTTACTTGCGAAACTGATTTGTCTGTGAAACTATTTATCCAAACTGCACTCTAAGTATGAAAACGTCTGCCTAACGGTAGTGGGACTATTAAATCAGTGTATTGACGTTCTGGTGAGTTATGAAAAAATGGCACATAAATCGTTCACTTCCTTGGCTATACTTTACCATCAAAATAGCCTATTATATTTACCTTATTGATTTAATTGCGGTTTTCAGTGACTGAGAAAATACTAGTTATACATAACTCTGGGGATAATATAGTTAAGGTTGTGACAAAGTAATCAGCATTAAGCTATAAATTTCCGAACATCGGTGGCAAAGGTGCAACTCAATATAGAAAAGCCTTGTTTCACATACAAAGAAAATACCCTTCGATATATGCAGACGCTACCGTAAAAGTTGATGCAAATAGCATAAAAAAAAGGGTTTTATAGAGCTTGAGCTCTTTCTTCATTGCTTGAAAAGAATTAGAATTCACCTCCATCAACCGGTAACGTTTTGTTATGTTTGAAGTAACCGACTTCTCCTAAATCACCATGTTTTAGAGCACTTGGACACTTTTAGTGACTATTTGCATTGAAAGTGGAAGATATAAAAAGGCCTCAAGTGTTTGACCTCCGTTGCCTTCGTAGTATAGGACGTATTCCGTGGTGTCACCACGTGAGTAATGCAGAAGTCAGGTGTAGAGTTTTAGGGAGAAGAGGTAAGTCAGTTGACGAGGTTATGAACTTTCATCGACTGAGATGGTTGGGGCACGTACTACGTTTGCCTAGTCACCGATTGCTTCATCACACAATGTTGGCTGAGGTGGGTCCAGGCTGGAAAAAGGCCCGAGGTGGCCAGACTAAAACATGGCTCCAATGTATGAAGTCTCTGACTGTTGGTTTAAGCCATGTGGGACGATGCAGACTAGGTGGCTGGGGTCCACAGGACAAGAGGAACCAGTGGTTGGAGACTCTAGGTGATATGGCTCAGAACCGATGTCAGTGGCGCAGATGTACACACATTATCCTCATCTTAACTACACTATACCGAATCTCACCAGTTTGTTGCTCCTCTTTCCTTTCTCCTCGTACTTTATATTCCTTTTGACTGCATTCACTTATCTTCATCCTTCACCTTACTGCCTTTCTACTTGATGGACTGACGTGAGGTGTGGCAACTTAAATCGTTACGCAGTAATGCCTGGTCCAATGTTGATAATGATTGATTGATTTGCATCAAAATATTCCTAATTTTTATATCTATTAGTCGACGCTACGCTTTAGATCTTTTCAGAAATATATTTTGCTATTATCTCACTTAACAGTAACCGGTTTCAATAAAGTTAATTGGCATCGTCCGTCGCCAAAAAAAAGCCATCAAAATACACGCTACTTTGATGGGCAAAAGCGAATAAATTTCTATAGCTAATCTTTTCCACACTTCGATAATAGCGGTGGTAATTTAATCCCTTACTACTGGGATGTAAGTGAAAAACAGGACATATGGGAAGGTATTTCAGTAAGCTACGACTTAATTTTCTCTTCGAGAAGACTAAACCATAAGTAATGCATAACCATGAGTAACTCATCATCTTTTGGCGGACAAACACAACAACGTGAAAGCGCACAAAATTCAGTCAGCTGAAGATACTGCGACTTGCAATCGTAATCAAAAAGGTAAAACTGGAAAGAAAAAGTTAAAATATACGGAAAAACCAGTGGATGGGGAAATGCAGACGAGACAAGGTGTCAAGGGTTCCAGAAATATAACTTAAATAAGCCTGAAACGTTTTTATCAATTTTAAGACACACTTTTCGTATTAACAATCCAATAACTTCTCCAAATCAAAATCTGCTGACTAAAAAATTTTCAACTCACTGGAATGTTCCTCACCACCAATCCGTGACTGTAGTGCTCGGTTTTTGTTTTCGTACGACTAACAAAAGGTCTTAGTTAGCAACTGGCACTAATTATTTGGTTTGATAGCAACTTGGTATGAATGATATATTAAAATATCGGGACAAATATTAGGCCAGACATGGGGTTTTGTGATATTTCATGAAATCCACTATGATTCTCTACGCTGACGATGCAAAAACCTTCCAGAAACTCATGAATGACGAGGATATACGCACACTCCAGATAAACATAAACGGCTTGTTTACCTGCTCAGGGAAGTGGCTGATGCCTATCAACGCAGGTAAATGTGTGAGCATACACTTGAGGCACACACGGCAATATTTATGATATTGAACGGACTCCTCAATTGTTAGTACTGATAAACAATGACACAGAAGTCACAGTGGGTTATGATTTGAAAACCACGGCATACTGTCAACTGGTAGTAGCTCAGAGTTTTATGACACTTCGGATATTAAGCAGAATGTTTACAAAAAATAAGTGGTGATATGTTCACCATCTTATACACATCCTTAGTTAGGTCTAATTTAGAAAACGTACACATGCTGCAACCCTTATCTGAAAGGTGACTCAGAACTTCTGGAAAGAGTTCAGAGAGAAGGTACACGCATGCTACCTGCGATGGATAGCCTGACCTATGAAAATCGACCTGAGCAGCTGGACCACTTTTCTTTATCCCACCGCAGAAGAAGGAGAAAACTAATCACACTGTACAAGATTCTAAAAAAATGAATTTGGACCCGACCAATCTTTTCCTTCCCTCTACCCTAGGTCAGAATATCTCAAAGGATATAATAAGAGAATAAAAAAACAAAGAACGAACATAGTCTCCGCAGAGTACTGGTTTTCGAGCCGAGTAATCAACTCCTGGAACCGACTTCCAGAAGAAGTGGTGTCCGCATCATCAACTGACTCCTTCAAAAGGGGAGTTAACAAGCGCATAAATCCACTGGAAAAAGATTAATATCGGCTCACAGCCTTCCATCCTGAAACATAAAATGTGAATCTGAAATCTTGCTAGATGTATCTAGTCCCCGATTTCAGCCCCATGATTTGTGCAATTGATTCTAACTGTGACCATAGCATTCTAAGATTGGCCTCACATCGGACACATGGCAAAACTGCCCTATATTTCAAGCGATCAAATGTTTACTGAGTTTCATGGTTAACCATGTGTAATTACACAAAGCAAAATGTTGTTGAAATCCCGCGTAATATTAAAAAGAATGTGCCATACTTTCATATCATACATATGATACACACATAAATAACATATGCTTTATGATTATATATATATATATATATATATATATATATATATATATATATATATATATATATATATATATCACCACAATGAATTCCTAAGAATTTAATTCTCGTTAGAGAAACTACGCTCTCTTCGAGCACTTAATATGACGCCAACAAAATAAAAGTACACGGCGTATCATGTTATTCTCCTTCGAAGACCGCATTCAAAATCCTATAAGATGCGATTCTCTGAAAAATAGCAAGACTAAATTTCCAGAAATGAGAATATTGATTTCAGATGAGAATAAGGCCTCGACAATGTCAATGGTTGAAGCTTTTCGAAGAACATGGTCTGCAGTGACTACTCACTTCGACAATGTTCTCACGATTTACCATTCCAATGCAGTTTGAGCGCCTTCTTGACGCTTCTGTTTCCATGTGCTGATGCACACAAACAAACAACTTTTAAGGCTCAAACTTTCTGATAATAAATACGTAATTCATCAACCTTGTATTGCATTTTTAATCAGACTTATCTTTTTATGCTTACCTACTAGCTGTATGGGGTGTTCTAACAGAAGAGCACCACGTGCAACAAAACGGCCACATTAACATTGGCAACAGCTCAGTGAGTACATCAAGCACACAAATAAAACCAGCACCTGCCTTTTGTCAAACAGTTTTAAGTACATGTTTTCACTAGATGAGTGGACGATCAGGTGTAAGTCTAGCGCTTGTAGTTCATCCAATCAGTACCAGTTTTACTGGTTTCCAAAAGGTTAGGTCTTTACTTTCGACTGGCATCATCTTAGGGTCCTTACGGAAGTACCAGAGGGTGGCGAGATGTAGCTTGGATGTTCTTTAGCCTGTAATCTAGGGTTATGGAAGATTCGACTTGGATATTGACGTTCATAGACTGGTTAGCGTGAAGGTACACCGCCAATCAATCACACCAATTGGGAAGTTGCAAGTTAAGTTGCACTGATTGATCAGGATTCTTTAGTCATCTGGTCAAAAAACGTCAACACTTCCGGGTAGTTTACTGAATATGCTATTCCTGCCTGGTTAAGTTACCACGTTATTTCCTGACCTCACACTCGTGGACGTCATACAATTACCAAGATCTGGTGATTGGCCTTTCACTAATCAACCTTAAATAAAAAAACACTTCCCATGTTTGTATGCTAGCTGCGCGCTCACGAACAGTTGCCAAAGGATAACTGCACCAGAGAAGCATCTGTTACACGAGGGATATTTTTTCGACAAGACTGGTGATCGTTTATATCTGCATCCAGCAGCTTTAGTTAATACACATTTGGTACATCGTGCTGTTGGTCACTGACTGAAATGCTCGGAAATTAACGTTTACCTCTCCACCTTACCTTCGCTAAAATTACAACGATGTACACGAATACCTATAAGCTTGAATCGCTTTTTATGAATACGAAGTTCTTAATAAACGAATGCCTCCTCAAGCACTGACATCAACACGCGCTACCAGATACGTTTAATATACGGCAGAAGAAACGGTGACAAAGACCATATAAGAGATGAAAGAAAAACGAAGGTCAGCGGAGGATGATTTGTTGCACTATCATATCAGAATATAATCAAGCGATTGACTTGGTGGGTAAAATAGGAATCCCTAATTTCCCCACCTACAAACGTTCAAAATAGTAATAATGTTTCATCCTAAATGTAGAGGCAAACACCAATTTTACAGGTATCGGTAAGTCTACGTATAAATTACATGCATCTTCGTGGAAGGTAATCTCAATCCACACTTACTGTCACCAGAAGATATAAGTGCTGCATGTTCATATAATGGAACATCCCGGCAGAATAAGTATGTGGAAAATTTCCAAGTTGGACAAGTGCAAGCATTGTCTTCGCATTAACAAAAAAACCAGGTTTGTATCTAGACATTACAGGTATTACCTGGAGAAACATAAAGCTTGAAGTTAATACTTCCATTTTAACAGTTTTTACCTTTTGCTTCAGATGACGATGAAAAGTTTATGAAGGGATGTATGCACCAATTGTTCGCATATTGCACTTTGTTGATGGTTCCAGTACTGTACAATCCATGCATGTTAATACCATTGCACGATAAAGATTAATAATCTCGATGAGTTTTATGACTGAGGGCCAAATATCTTCACGTTACCAGCTCCAGCATCCAGAAGCAACAGACTTGTTTGAATGCACCAAATCGGCTTCCAGGCCATCTTGTCCACCGCCTTACATCTAGGCAGGATAAATGATGCTTCCCATATATCACAGTATGTGAAAGATTCCAAAGAGAGGGAAAATATTTCAAGTAATAATAATGGAATATCAGGTTCACCAAACCTAAAGATATGTGATGCTATTCCATCAGTGCCAGCGCTGTCGGTGCATTCCAGCACCCTAATGGCTTCGTGAATATTAGAGTACGTGAATTCAACTGCGTCTATTGTCGTTAGTTGAGGAGAAGAATAGGTTTTAAAAGTGCAGACCGCACTAGTTTCACACGAAAAACTTGTGGGTTCCAGATAACTAACTGCAAATAAGTCGCTGAATACTTCACACATATCCACTGGATCATTATAAGCCTTGGTGTCATGGATAAGAAGAGGAATGTTATGTCTTGTGCAATTCGATCGCTTCTTAAGGAGTGCTAAGAGAGCATATTCTCCAGATGAGCTAGCTAGTGCACGACTCTCTTCATTCTTCAAACGCAAATCATGGTTATGCGGGATGGAGTTAAGAATACCAAGAATCAACCGAAGTGCCTCGACATCGTGGTGTCTGTAGTATCTTGTTGAGAGTTTGCGTAACTTTCTACGAGCATTGGGAGGTGTATAAGGCTTATTGTTTAGTGGCCTTTCTTTGAAACGTTTCAATGGGACGATGGTATCGAGACAGAGTTTAGAGCTGTGGTGAGGCATATCAATGATAAATTTGAGGTCTTTAGTGGTGAAGAATGATCCCCAGCTAGCGCGCCTGTTTACAACACCTAATCATTGGACGTATCTGCTGCCAATCCATCCTATCGTATTCCCTACATACTATTTAGTGTGCAGTGGAAGTACCAGTTGAAGTACTAGTTGCAGGAAGTGGTAGTGCGCATAATACTGTTTTTTGGTCACTTCCTGGGAACTTGAGGCCTACATTTGTCAAAATAAGAACTATGTTATGGCAAAATTTTGAGTCCAATACATTGTCACCTCTTGTGGGAGTTGTAACAATTTGCTTCCATCCAAAAATAGACAGTGTATGGAAAAAGTCGTCATACCCAGCCGGACCAGTAGTGGATCCCAATCGATTTCAGGTAGGTCAAAGTCACCGCATATGATCATATGGAAGAGTGGATGCATGTTCCAGAGCCGTAATCAACGGAATCTCATGATTGTTAAAGGTACCAGGTGCTCCGTATACACATCTCACAGTGCTGTAACATTCATGTAGTGTACTGCGACCCATAGAGGGTCACTCACTTCATCAAGAACCATACTTTCCAACTTGAATACAGTGAGAGTGCTGAGGAAGTACGTCAGGCAACCTGCTCCTCTCTTGTCACTCCAGTCACATCGGAATTGTGCATACATGTCAGTACTTATCTCTTCATCTGGTATATTTGCGTGACACCAAGACTCAGTGATAAATATTACCGGCGGCTTATATATGAGCGCGATTCCTCTTAATACCGATAGTTTGCTAAGGGCGGACCTCGCGTTTATGAGAACGATGTACAAGTAAGAGGAGTAATAATGTGTAAAGCTTTCTAGTTCGCCATACAAGCCAAAAGGCATCTCAGTGTCGCTTGACTGAGTATAGCCTGACGTCGTTGCGTTACAAAACGTCTCTGCACCTCGTTCACTTGTAGGTGTAGAGTTACTAGGATATCTTAGTGGTAAATCGACCACACGGTAACTTGAAGTAGTATCACCCTTATCAGGGGAGAACGGAGCAATGTTTTTATTTGTGTGCAGTGTGCACATTATATCCAAACAGACAGAGTTTGACCTCATGCAAGCGTCGTCTGTAGTATCTGTTACACAGAGGGTAGGTAGTTTTACTGTTGTACGTGGTGGGTGTGTAGGGCTGGTGATGCCGCTTGGAGGATTCAGTAGACCAGTTGTGCTTTTGCATCTGTTGACACCACTTGGGTAGTTGGTGTCTAGGATTTGTGTGTATGGTTGACTGTGTCTTTTCTGTTGCTCCAAGGGCGTTAAGACTAGCGGTTCAGAGTAAGGAGTTTCAACATCCCCATCAGTTGTTTGGCCAAAGCTGCAGCTGATAGGGATGCAATGGATAAAAAGTCATCATGTTTTTGTGGTCCATGTAAACCTCTGTTCTGCGTTGTATTCCTTACTACCGATTACCTTCTGTTACAATTCACAACGGATGTAACTGGCGTTATGTTGGATCAAGGGCTGCTCCTTAGTAAACTAGTGCCATGCAGCCAACCAAAGTTTTTCCTCACAAAGTACCCAGCTGACATTCCATTATAGGTGGTTTGATGTCGGCTTTTCTCATCAGTAGACAATATGGTCGGTTTGTTGTGGCGTCTGTTTTTGTTCTCGTTACTAGTGAGACGTAGCTCAGCGCATAGAACCTTCTTCGTGGAGCTACTGTTTGTACTTCTGTCAATTGCAGATGGGATTACGGAATCATTTCGGATCATCATATGCTTTTTGCGTCCGTCTCTACGTGTTGGGTTCCATGGGAGCATTGGTTTATCTGTTGCATATTGAGTGGCCGATTTCCTAGGACCTAGGCTGCTGTGGTTAGTAAACTCTAGGCCTCCAGCAGACCTCAGTGAGAGTTCTGTCACGTTTAGTGCTGTGTCGGGTTCCACTTTGGGGCTTTCTGTGGATACGTCTGGATCCACAGTTTTAGGTGGTTGAGTTAAATCATGCATCTCTCAGTCTTCCGTCTCCACGTTTGTCGATATGTTTTTCCGCATATTTGGCTTGATGCAGCTTGTGGGAGGAGGAGTTCTAGGCTTGGGTATACTGGGGGAGATACCTAATGTCTTAGTATGTTGCAGCTTTGGAGCCTTTTGAATGTCAGGTCTACGAGCACAGTTGTAAACCTGCCTCCCCACAACTGTCTCATCAAGAACTGTCTTTATTCCTGTAAAAACAGTGCTTTTTGTTGAGACAGATTCTGCTTTGATGAATGCTTCCGCTTCCATCTGTGATTTAAACTGGAAGCATATCGGACAGCAACGGTCCTGCTGGCGCTTTTTCTGGTCGAAAACATTTTGCATGGACATCATGCATTTTCGCTGCTTTAAGCAAAATTTCTCGTATCGCCTCCAACTTCGTCGTGTCAGGAACGTTGCAAATTATTGCGTTCAATTTAAGTGTAAGTCTCTTACTTACTTCATTGGGGATAACGTTTACCAAGTGATTCACCTTGGCTAGTGTTTCCATGT